TGGAACACAGTTTGGGCGGGGCGAGGCTTTGGCAAGCCGAGACCGCAAGATGGGCGAGTACGATGTCACAGAGTCGCAGGAAGCTCGGATTCCGGCAGAGAAGAGCCGGGAACACTTTCAAAACTGAAACAAGATCTGATTCTCCGGAGTGCTGCGATCCTCGGAAGGCACTGGGCACCCCCCCTCCCCTTCCCAATTTCGATCGAGACAATCGCTGAAAGCCTGCATGGTCACAAGTTATATTGAGGCTTCTTCAAATCCAAAGACCGTTGTCGGTGACTATCTGGGTTCAAGGTTTTGGGGTTAGTGGCTTGGTGCCTGGATTGTGGACGGAAGTAGTGAAGTCTAGGCGAATTAGGCGAAGTGGCAGTTAACTAGCAGAACCTCTAATCTTTATCAATCCTCGCGGCTCTCTTTTCATGAATGCCTTCAGGCCTTCCGAAAATTGCCATCGTACGTAGTGAAGGAGACTCTTCACATGCACTGCACAGCAAGTTCAGAATGTTGGAGCCACGCCGAGAAGTCCTCACATTGGCCACCTGTGTCGCCAAGGTTTCGCACACTATCTTCAGCCATCGACCTCATGGCCCCTTGATTCCAGTTGAGAGGCTTCAGGCTTCGAGGCCGGTATTGGTCGATGAGTCCTGTGAATCCTACCCATGAACACAAGGTTGATTCGCAGAGTTTGCGGATTGGCCACTAGCAACCACTTTGTTTTTGCATTGTTCAGCTGTGATGGATGCATGTTTGTTGAAACCGCTGATCTGAGCCCTGACGCTGCAGCCTTACACGTGCGGCCACGTCAGCGCCGCCCCAAGCGCGCCCCGCGTGCAAACTCTGTATGCTACCCAGGCGATAGTCAGGCTTGAGGGGGGCGGAGTTCGTCACCAACGCACATCCACCCCTCACGCAGGTCTCTAGCATGGAACACCCGAACCTCGCCCACCATGCAACAACGGTTTCAAGTTTAGCCGGCCTCGGGCTTCGGGGCATTATATATATATATATATATATATATATATATAGGATGCCCTTAATCCCAACCCCCCCAACCACACCATGTGGGGGGGGGGGAGGGGGGGGGGGGTTTGCGTGGTGCCCGGCCCTTGAATCTTAAACCTAACCCTTCTCCAACCATACCAGGGGGACCCTAAACCCTAGCCCCAACCCTCACAAGGGGGGAGGGGGGGGGGGGGGGCCGGCCGCACCCGGACCATAAATTCCAAAACGCTCGACAAACACTTGATTTGAAATTGCTGCATGAATGCAAAAATTAGAAGCACGCTACAGAAACACGACTGGAATTGAAAACCGTGATAGAAAGACGATGTGCGGCAACTTGTGTAGAAGTGCGCGTAGACACTTTAGAAACACGACTAGCAAGTCCTTATAGAAATACGGGTACGCGAACCTATACAAACGCGATTTAACAACACTTTGGAACTTCAGTGATTCGCCCCGACTTGTTGCGCACACTGATCCGTTTCATGGCGCTGAATCGCGGCCCTCGTTGTAGGACGAAGGACACAGACCTTGATCTGAAATCCGCAAAGTCTGTTCGTAGCCTGGCTGATCGACCTGACCTTCTACCCCACCACCCCAGCACCCGACCACCCCTTCCCACTCCCTGCGCCCCCCCCCCCCTTCCCAAAGACCAGGAAGTTCTGAAAAAAGGGCTTTTTCAAAACTTTACAGGGATTCAGGGCTTTGTAGGAAGAGGAAATTGGACAAGGCAGGTCATTCACAAGTTAACGAGTGCCTCTTCGATCTTCGTAAGTCTCACTAACCCTTCAACCTCTCAAAACAGCAAGTGTTTTGTGTGGGGTCAGGCTGTTTGAAGGTTTTTCTAGAACTTATTAAATGTAAGTAGCCAAGGGCCTTTTATATGTCATTTAAATTTCTTTCAAATCCTTGAATTCCGGAAATCTTAAAGAGCAGGGTCCGGACACCTTTGCAGTTGTTGAAATCGAGGAGAGTCAGACTTTCTTCAACTTCACCAAATCCTCAAGACCTGCGACAGTGGCGACAAACGCTTTTCTTACGATTGGCACAATCATAGGGACGTAAGTAGTGTTTTCTTGGCGGGGGGTTGAGGTGCTACGTATGCTGCTTCGCGCCACCCGCCGAAGAATTGAAACCTCTTAGGGGCCTTGCAACAGGGTTGATACGTGCCTGATTGGGGATGATGTGGTTCTGTGGCTGCTCTGAGGTGAATCTAGATCAGGCCCTGGCCGCCTTTATCTGCACCTACTCCGAGGGCAGCGAGACATAGGCACAGCCCTTGCATGGTTGGCGCTTTTGGGATTTTCTTAGGGTTTTGTGGGTTGAGTCCTAAGGAACAGTGTTATGGGTCCAATGTGCAGGGAGCTCGGTGAGCCCAGAAGCCACTCCTCGCATTTGCAGGCTGCTGCGCCGGCCGTGAGCGCAACTCTTGACGTACCATATAGTTCGCAAGTCAGCTCCCACTGCGGTGCGCGAAGGCATGTCAAGAGAGTTGTGTATATGTATTGGGGCGTTCATAAATACGCCAATCTGCATACTGCAGTTCCTACGGCACAGACCACACCTGAGCTTAAGGATTAGTTAGCATGTGCCATTGCGCAGCGCAGGGCGTCTTGCAACGGTACAGCAGGCAGCCGCTTGGTTTTCAACATTCCGCCGGCAAGGGCATCGCCGTCACCTCTTTGGCCTTCAAGCTGGCGCATACGCTACATTCTTCTTGGGCATGCAACAAAACGGGAGCTGGCATTCACGCCAATCAATGCGAAGATCAAACAGTCTCAGCACTGCAGCTGACAATCAGCTCCTGCCGGCTGAGTCAAGAGCGGTGCCAACACGAACATTCATAGCTGGACACGTCAGAGGGCAAGGGTCAACGTCTATCGTTGCCCCTGTCCCAGATGCTGGCATGCAAGGTTAAGGGATCTGAGCACATGGTCCTGATCTCACGAAGGCTGGCAGGCAGCCCGTGCTAAGCGTGCACTCCAGTGCAACCTGGATGCACATCGTAGGAGGTGCGAGACCAAGTGCACGTTGGCCTCCACGAATGTAATGAAGTTCCCGGGGGTCTTGTCTTTGGCCGAGCCTGAGATTTGCGCAGAACCCTGGCCGACCGATTCTATTGCAGGTGCCTGTAACGAGACGAGATTTAATCACTGTCTGTGCCAGGGTTCCACTTCCAAACCCCAGGGCCATAGCGGAGATTTCAAGAATCAGGGGCCTGTTCCCCATTGCGAGGGCATGCCCTGCGGCATGCCATTGTACATGATCTGCGTGCTCCAAGCAAGCATGCCTGCAAATTCACGCTGCTTTCTACACAAGTAGCTGGTGCTGAGAACGTTGCCGTAAGGATCGGAGTCTGACCAATTGCAGTTGCAACTGACCAACTAGCCGCACTAGCAAACAACCACGACTAATGGCACGGCATGATCGACTGTTTTGTTGGGTGCAGGGCAAAGTGTATCTCCTGCCTGAAGGGTGAGCTCATTGTGGATAGGGCTTTTTCAGGGCAGGGCGCTTCATTCATGGGAATCACAAACTACGCCCAAACAGCCCTCACAAGAATCGGAAGCCTACGTAATGACCTTCATCTTACTGCAACGCAGAACGCCTCGGCCTAGGGGGTTCTTCAAAAGTTGCAACCTGTACGTTGCTGGCCTCTGACGCTCGGTACAGCTGGCTCCAGAAATACCTGGAGGTTGGGGCTGGGGTGGGGGTCCATACAACGGATCCGTAGAGGGGATGGGTGTGGGGAGAGGGGGCGGGGTTGGGTGGTGGATACCTCAGACACCTACCACAACTCCTACGGCCCGAAGCCTCGGCAGAAAGAATGACTTCGGATGCTGCTCCTTGTCGCTGTTACGACCGCCGATCCACAGGAACCAAGGATTGAACTTGGCGAAGCTTTGGCTTTCAGAACGAAGCTGGGGCTAGAGTTTGATTAGTGCAGTTGTCCTTGGTAGTTGTGTGCCGATTGCTGTTCACAAGTTCAGATGTGCCTTGCATTCCTCGTCTGACTTTTAAAGCTTGGGCAAGCATTTAGCGCCCGACCGAACAATTCCGTTCGCGCCCTGCGGCATGCATTGACATGCGTGCTGAAGAGCCTGTGGTGGAACTTTGATGATGTGAAGGTTTTGGTATTGTAAGAGCAACCCCCGAACCCCAGGCCCCATTACCTTATGAAGCTTACCATCGAATCGTAGCAGAGCGTGCAGCTGTGGCATGAGTTGGCGCATCTTTGCACATATGCTACAAGCCGGTTAGCCCGAATCATAGAGCACCTGAAACGATCGACCTTTCTGCCGCATTTCTGCACACCAGCAAGAACAATCAACTTGGCAGCTGCTGTTTACTTGTCTGGGCCGATTCAAAACCAGCCTGGTCGTGGAATCATCTTGTGCGCAGGTTACAGGGAAGCCACAGGCAGTTTCGGGCTTGGCTTATTATGTAAACAGCGAGGGGTCCATGTTTCCCCAAGCACGCCTTCAGAACAGCAGGAGTTGATCTGCAGCTCTAGACGTACTTTGCTTTGCAAAGCTTGGGGAGAATTGACCCCAATAAACAGGTAATTCGTGCACTGCGTGAAGCAATGCCGGACAAGACGTGCTCCAGAGACATGAAGCAGCTGATAGCAGAAAGCTTGTGGGCAAGACTTTGGGTCAGCCCGATCTTCGAGTTCGCTTGCCTCAGCTGGTGGTTCATTGGCAGTATGTGCCACGGAGACGTTGATGTATAGCCGGTGTTTGCAAAACTGGCAATCGGAACCCCTTTCATGCTTCATGAACTACGGTGGGGTTCTGGTGAGGCGACTCAGTACTCAAGCTCAGGAGGGTTTAGTTTAAGAGGCTTCATAAGAAGCCATCCTACAGCTCCGATGCAACCTGCGGGCATCGCCGACTCTACCTCCTAGCGGCCTTACACCCCCCCCCCCCGCCCCACCAAAAAAAAGTCTAAAATACACCAAGCAGAGCATCAGCCAAACATCCCCACCTGCCGGCGCAATGGAAGCCCTGGATGGCTTGCTGCCGAGGAAACTGGGGATCGAACCGATACAAAGCAAGGGCCGGTAAAATGATTATACGTTGGAACTTTCAGAAGGAACCGGCTGGAAGGTAGTGGCTGTAAGTGCCCCATATCAAATAAGGGCTTTATAGGAATATGGGCCCCTTTCATCCCCCCAAGGTTCTTATGAAATTAATTCGTCCCAGCCCTCGGGGCTCTACCCCTTCAAAGTCACGCAGGGCAATCTTCCTGAGTGCCCGCTCCCAGAGTATCTTGCGGAGAATGAAGTGCCCACCCACACCGCATGCCATGGAGTACACTTTTGTTGCGGTTTGGGGGCTGGGGCGTCATCCTGCGGGACGCTGCCCAGTCTGTCCACTGCACTATCATCATGTGGAATATAGAACTACGAAAACCTGTGGTTCTGATACTCTTGGGTTTGATGTGCTACCACTGAGCAGCCGTCATCGAGCTGGTCAGAAGAAAGGGGCCACAAGGCTCCAAACGAAGCATGACGCAACGTATTCACAAATAGGAGAAGCACCTGGATTGCCCAAACTTATATCGAAGACCAACCAACAGCTGCCTTGCCTGTGAGAGAGAGAGAGAGAGAGAGCAAGCGACCTCGTGCCACCGGAAGTGGCAACGCTAATTCTCATGCTGACCCTCACAACCAACTCGTAATGACACGGGAAGGCTTCCCAAAGTCCTAACTTGTCGAACCTGCGTAGCCATGCTGCGGAAAGCGAAAGAGTTTGAGCAGGCTCCACATTCTTCGCTGCGTTTGCGGTGGTGCGGAGAAGCTCCCCTGCGCAAGCCTTCGGGCACTGGCAGCAGTCGCCCACTAAGCTTTCAGGGATTAGGCATGATTAGACTATGTTAGACTACACCCTGGCACTTGATTACGGAGTGTTGGAGAAAATGCAGCAGGATGCAGCAGGAGTTGTACTCCTCCTCCCTCTTAAGCACTCCACGAAGCTGCCTGGAGTGCCCAGAGATCCTTTTTTTGTTGCACAAGGGCTTGCCCTTTGAAAAGGGTGAATTCCATAGCCTCAGGTCTCCAAGAGCTGGCAGGAGCTCAGCCTATGTCCGGAGCAACCCAGCTGCATGTTATCAGCACAGGTTGGGCCACACAAGTTTGCGCCTTGTCCCCGCTATCAGATGAAAACGCTGTAGAAGAGGAGTAGCTTGATAGCAGTACTCGTACTAGTAGTCGTCGTCGTAGCGATAGCTGTGTTTTGTGCTTGTGCCATGCGTCTTGGCGCATTCATGAGCAGCCAGGCCCCGAGTCTCCCGGTGGTTTTGCTTGAGGGAGGTTACGACGTTTTTGTCAGGCAGAGCCTCCTTGCACGTGTATTTCGCACATTCCCGACCGCTGCCATGCCTACCGAGAGATTTCACTCGGTTCCTCAGCGTTGGACGCTTGTCGCCACCGCCACCACTTCGCTAATCATTTTGGCGTGCATGCTTGTCATTGTAGTTCTTGTCCTAATGAAGAACATGAATTTGAAGGCGTGTTCACCAGTGTAGTGCCCACATCTTCGGCTCCTTGCGCTGGCTGCAATGATGTGGGCGCAGTGGATGGTAATGGCTTTCACAGCGGTCGCTGCCATTTTTGTATGTCTGCAGGCGGCGCAGATGACCACCTTGAGGCTCAGTCAGCAACACCCTGTGTTCTTGAAGTTGGGCTCTGCGAATGCCCAAGTGGAGGATCTCCCGATCGTTATCTCAGCGTTGCAAAGGCTCGAGCCCAAGATGACGCACATGGAGAGTTCCATGAAGGACCTATATCAGGAGTTGGTGAACGTGTCCAAGCACGACTTCTGGGATGAAGGCGCGCTGATTAAATTGGAGCTGACATCTGAGCATGCATACTGGCATCAGCGACAAGAGCTGGAACTTGCAAGAAGTCCTCATTTCGCCGGTCTTGAAGCGAATTGGCCCTGTCTCTGGGGTGAGGAGGTGATTGGGGGTGAGCCCAGTCATGGCACCAAGTGGATGTGCGGCGCACGCTTTCTTCGGAAGCCTTGCGTTCTGTACTCTTTCAGCTACGGCATGCGTGGACAGAACCCTTTTCAGAAGGGGCAGAGCAACTTGGGGGACTGTCAGATACACATCCATGATCCCACGCTGGACCAGTCAAAGGATGGCTTGTACCATGTCCATAAAATTGGACTGGGCAGCGGCGACGGCCCTCTGGAGCTAACCCCTGCAACGAAGCACCTTGTTCAACTACAAGGCATGCCTGCACGTACCTTGATGACGGCTATGAAGGAACATGGTCATAGTCATATTGATGTGCTTGTGATCGACATCGAAGGCCTGGAATACGAGGTGCTTGCAAAACTCAATGCAACCGGCTGGCCTTCAATCGGTCAGTTGCTGATGACGGTGCACGTCCAAGGAAGTGGGTCGTTCAGGAAGCAGCTCCTTGAAGTAATAGCTCAGGTTGAATCTGCGGGATTTCGGCTCTTTCGCAAGGCGCTGCAGATCACGGCACCAGATGCCTGCATAGAGTATGCCTTCATGCAGAAAGGATGGAGGCCAGAGATCAAGGCATACCATATGACCAGCATGACCTAAAAGCAAAAAAGAAGCGCGCAGAGTACACGGGGTCCCGGTGTAGACATCATGGTGCAACAGCATCACACAGTTCAAACAGGGCTTGCTATATCGTCGGGTTTAGCGGGTTTTAAACATCAGATTTCAGGGGGTTCGATTTCAAGTTTAACATGTACACCGGCTCCTGCTGCGAAGAAGAAAGAAGCAGAAGAGAAGAAAGAAAAGAAAGAATACAGAAGAGAGATGAGAAGAAGACCAATGGCGAGTTCATCATCCGGGTGGGCCACAGCCTGAGTTGTTGCAGTTTTGCATCACCCTGCTGTAGAGTTCTAAATGTGGGTGTTTCCCGATCCCCTGCTGCAAGGCCCAACAATGCGATCGTCTTGTCAAAGCTGCCCGCAACAAGCTCAAGCCATCCAATCCAGGACAAAGACAACATCATTCTTAGCTTGAACAAAAAGGGCGCAAGCGTCAAACTTGCAAGAGTTTAGAGCTTCTGGTGCGGGGGGTGGGAGCTGTGCCTTGAGGAACTGTCGCGTTCGGCTGTTCCTGGGATCATAGTTAGAGCTTTTTTGTTCTAACGCGCCGCGCGTTGTTGCGGATGTGTTACCGCACTGGGCCACCCTCAGAAGAAGTAGGAGTTGGCTGCTTGAGACCCCATGCGCCAACTTGGTCAGCAACAAAATGAGCACCACCCGCTGCGCATAGTAGCCATAGAACCCAGACCTGTCCTGTCCTCAAACCGCTTAACATGCGTCGGGCAACCCAGAAACACGATGCTTCGTTGTTATCGTGCCGCAGACTCAGACCAGATCGTTTAAGAATCTCGATGGCTCATGGGCAGCAAAACTGCAGAGTTTTTGTCTATGTGGAACTGCCATGATCGACCCTCTCAGCAGATAAGCCTTTCTTTTGTAGCTCCCGCAACATATTAGGTGTGTATATAAATACATAATACTCATATATATATATGTATATATATATATAGTATAATGCAAAACTACTATAATACTACAATACTAGAGAGAGGGAGAGACTATTAGCACATTGTTATAGTATCGTTATGTTGCTATGTTCCTTACTGGCGTGTGTGTCTCTTATGTGCTTGCATTCTTGTTGTATTAAATTTGATCCTTTTCATGCTGTTCGAGTTTATATATATGGACATACTCTTGTGCTATGTAGCGTTCCCCTGGTTACAGCCATCAGGATATTGCCCTTCGGTCGGCAGCTGCACTGCCGGTTGTTGACGCCGGGGAATGTGTGCAACCACACCTGCAAGAGCGTTGACAAGGAATCAGTTCAAGGATTCGCGACTCCCCAAGCAGATGCCTGCAGGTACCGCAGTAGCTCCCTAGGTCTTTCCCCATGAAATGGTGGGACGTGTCACAGCTCCGAGAAACTCACTTCGAAAGCAATTCCAAGACGACATAGCCGCGATACGCCTTCAAGGTACCGTAGTACGGTGATTGAGCATCAGGTGTACGCATACGTTGACGTGCAGAGTCTATAGTTGCACCAGCCCTCTCCGTGTGGGAGATAGATAGGGATATTCCAGTATTCCAAACCCTGCTGAAGATCAGAAGTCGGCCCTTGACAGGTAAGAGATCTGGGGAGATTTGGCCTCCCGGCGAGGCGTTGGAGGTGTCCCTCGGCCAAGATGATGTGCACCAGGTCCCACTCTTCTGAGCCGGTTTTGCCAAGGTCCCCCCTTTTTTTTAGCTGCAGAAGCAGGAGAGTTGATGATTTCGATATTGTTTCGCGCTCAGCTCTCAGGGCTTGCTTCCCCGCCTGGCAGTGCTGAGGCACCGAACTGGGGCCTCGGAACCTTTGGGGGCAACGCGGCCGAGAAGCAACGGCTTTGGATTGTTTTAGGCATCATATAGGAATATGCATATATGAGTATATCTATGTGTATATATATACAACAATAATATGAAGAGTAGTCCAAAAAAACAAAAGTGGCATGCCAGGGCTTCCATCTCCCGACCTTCTCTCTCCCTCTTTCTAAACGAAAAGGGTGCACTTGAAGAAGAGTTTTTTCATCCCGAGGAACGGGACACGTTGGTCCGGTTCTTCCACACTTGCTTGCACAGGGACAGCTGCTGAGTCTTGTGTCTTCCCATGGTTTAGGGTGCAGGGTGGAAACATCCGTCCTAAAAGGCCCTGGGCTTCAAAGAGACAAGCTTGAGAGCAAAATCCCGCCCCGCAGGATTATCAGCCCGCAGAGAGGCTCAGGCAGCAGTTCGACGAGGTGGGGCACACAGGGCTTCCAGATACCGGGAGTATATCATTTTTGGGCTCCTTCGCATTCATCGTATGAAGCGTTCACCCAATCGGCTGGGCCCCGAACAGCGGATGAGGGTTTGGGCCTCGAGACTTCCACTGCAAAGTAGCTGCATTAGTCATATTAGTCGCATGAGATCTTTTGCCTGGGCTGCAAAGGCACGGACCTTTGAAGCTTTCATTCAGTGCCTTGGAGTGAGAAGTGACAGCAAGTGCAGGAATTCTTCGCGGTTGACTTGAGCAGAAGGATGAAGCGGCTTCCTTTTATTCTCACATTCCATTCGCTTCCGCTTGCTTCTACTGAGGCTCCTGTCTGAATTCCGCAACACTCACTTCCCCAGACCTGCTGGCCCGGGCGATGCGCCACCACCCGTGCTTGGGCCAGAGATGTTAGGTCACCTAAAAAAGGCGCATCCTGTTGGGGGTCATGTTGGGGCCCCCCTCAATGCGCTGGGGCAACCGGCCAAGGTGTGGTGCTCTGCAGCTGTGGTACTGCCGAGCGGCCGACTTTGTACAGTGGGCGGCGGCTGCTACAGTCTCGCAGTCTTGTTTAGTGCGTCTCGAAGCCTAGCGCTTGGGGAAGCTCCACAGCCCGGGAAACAACCCGAAAAGCCTGGCCCGGAATGCAAGAAGGACTTAGACATGCCTTAAAGAGTTGGCCGACTAAATAAGGCACTTTGGCAAAAGACACAATTAAACAGTTTTGGCCTGCCAGGCAGCTTCAGACATTCTCAGAGTTACTCTTCCTCAACTAGCTAAAGCCATGGAGTTGCATTCAAAAGTGTTGAGATGCAACGAACTGAACTAGTTGCAAGAGTCTGTGAATCTCCTAGTCTGAGCTGGTGTCCTCCGGTTTGCAAACCAGTTGCAGGCTATGAGCTGGCAAACGTGCAGACGAGGATGGTGGACACTTGCTCTGAACTGGATCACATGGGACATCTGTGCTTTACCACCAAACCGGTACACCCTCCCATCCCAGGCCTCGAATCACTCTACATCGTACTCAAGAGTCCGGGACCCGCACTGTTGAGCCATCTGACAGCACAGGAAGTGCTTTGGGAGCAGCCCAACGTCTACGTCTTCGACACCGCACGGCGGAGCTGGTCGCGACAACCAACACAAGGCGGACCCAAGGATGCTCCGGGACCCTAAGGCCATCTACGGCCCTAAGATTTCGGGCATAAGTCGGGCTAGGGGCTTGTAATCTCTCAGGCCCATTGGGCTTCGCTCCAGGCACACCGCCCCCAGTCGCCCACACCTATGCAGCAGCCCACACCTTGCTGGGCGACAAGTGGGTGTTCTGGTGCGGAGGATACTACGGCCAGGCCAGGAATCCAGGAATCTAAGCGGCTTAATGTTGGTTGCGTTGCGCTCCCGTGTCGAAGCTGATTCTTCAAACCTTCTCCTTCTTATAGCTTATAGCTTATAGCTTATAGCTTATAGCTTATAGCTTATAGCTTATAGCTTATAGCTTATAGCTTATAGCTTATAGCTTATAGCTTATAGCTTATAGCTTATAGCTTATAGCTTATAGCTTTGTGGCTTCGTGCTGCCAGAATATGGCTACGGGCGCTCTGACAAGCCCCTTTGGAAACACAAGTGTTGCCCGTTGCAAGGCTTGTTGCTCTTGCTTCCTCTGCTGTTGTCTCTGTCCAGGAACTGGCCGGCACAGTAGCACACATGTAGCGGCGGCAATAGGCGCAGAACAGCGCCGGCCACCCTCTTCTCTTGAGCACTGGCGTTGGGCATGGGACCTTTGTACAAATACTATACATCCTTCTACACAGTCTTTAGGCCGTTTCCCTGCGGCATCTGCGGCTTCCGTTGGTCCAAACTCTGGGGCGGCATCTTCCTCACAAGTTCTACGCATTGCATGCTGCTGCTGGGCTTACAAACGAGGGGCAGAGGGCTCAGCCGATTACAGCATGCACCTCTCTAGCACCCAGAATTCATAGCCCTAAGCTATCAAGCAGACCTACAAACGCAGACAAGCCCTTCCCTTCCTGAACCCTCGACATGAACCTACAGAAGCCTTCAAAATTCCCAAAACCTTGTCATTCAGGCTGCCACTGTAGGGGCATGCCGGCTCAATGCGCACCCACAAGCACAAGCGACAAAGGCTTCCGAGATGTCTCGGCCTGGACCATGGAACCCCTGAGCAAAATCCTAAACCCTGATCGCTACCACCCCACAGGCCCCCCCCATGCGGCAGTGATCTCAGAAAATGTTGCTTCAATTTCGCTGAACTTCCCTGACTTTTCTGCAATGCATCTGTCCTGCTGCGCCGGTAGTGAGCGATCATTCTGCCGCTGGCAAAGTTGTCAAGCACACCCGAGCCAGACTGGAATTCAGATGTCAGAAACCGCTTCGCATGGTATCCTACTATCCCGCTCCACGAGATCAGGCCGTTGCAGGAGATGCGCACGGAAACGGGCGGGAAACCGGAACAGGGTCCGAGCCGTTGTCCTACTACGAGCGAGAAAGCCGTCGTCGAAACCGGCAGCTGCGCGATCAACTTCGTGCTGAAGATCCCAACGGAATCCTTGATCTAGCTTCGGTTCGCGGCTCTTCTTGGGACAGCATTGGAGTGTCCACAGCTCTGCAGGCACTGGCGTGGAAAGTAAAGCAAGGGGCACCCAGGCCCAGCTTCAGTGATGGCCGGTGGAAGCAACTCCAGCTCTGGGCTTATGGCCAGCTGGCTGAAGGTGAAGCGCGCAATCTGGCTAATACTGCCTGGTCGATGGCCAACATCTCCTGCATGAGCTTGCCCTTTATGACAGAGATTGCCAAGCTTGCGCAAGTCCGTGCTGGCGAGTTGAAGCCTCAGGAACTTTCGAATCTCTTATGGTCCTTTTCGACCATGAGACACACGGACCCTCCAGTGCTTCAGGCTCTGGCAGCAGAGGTGGACAGTCGCATTGCTGGAGACGCTGACAGGGCCGATTCCTTCTCCTGCCAGGATGCAGCAAACACGATGTGGGCGTTTGCTTCGCTCACCTTCGCCTCAGGTGAGACATGCAAACGTCTGGCATGCTACGCCTCGACGTTCGTCTTCCAGTTCAAACCTCAGGAGTGTGCCAACACCTTGTGGGCCATGGCCATTCTGGACGTGCGAGACTCCAAGTTGGTGGAGAGCATTGCATCCCGTGCTCGGGAGACGCTTCCTGAGTTCAGGTCTCAGAATCTCTCCAACTTTATCTGGGCGTACGCCAAGATGGGGCACCGAAATGCCCCGTTGACAAGTACCGTGCTGCAGCTGTCACTGCATGCGATGGAAAGGTCTTCAGCTCAGGAGAGGTTTTGCAAACGCGTTTGTAGTGGTTTTGGGGGTTGACGTGGTTGTCCCTGCATGTGTAAACCACTTTGAACATAGGTCCAGGGGGGTACACCCATTCGTTTTACAGGGGCTAGGACGGCTAGGAGGGTGGGGGTCCCCTCCCCTGCCCGTGCAAAGGTAGCTGCATTTAGCCGGGGTCATGTTATGCAGGTGTTCGGCACTGAGTTGTGTCTCCCTCTCTCTGTGTTGTTTCGTCTCTGTGTTTCTGTATCTCTGCGTCGCTGTGTCTCGGTGTTTCTGAGTCTCTGTGTTGTGACTCTGTGTTTCTGCGTCCCCTGCGGTTGTCGGTGGTTGTTGCTGTGTGTTGTTTGTTGTTTTGTTGGCTTTTGGATTGTTGTTCCTGTTGCTGTTGACGTTGACGCTGTTGCTGCTGTTGCGAACGAACATCAACATCCCATAACGATGGGAATTAGGCCAAGACGTTCCCTCTGCAGGACCTGACAACCATGGTTTGGGCTTGTGCCACCATGGACTACTGCTGCGACAGCTTCTGGGAACGATGCAGCCACGAGCTCCGCGCCTTGGCAAAGCGGACGCCGCTGCGGCCACAGCATCTCTCCAATACAGTTTGGTCTGTGGCCGCTGGCTCTGCACCAAGCATGTTGTGTTTCAGGAGTTGCTTTCCTAGCAGATCAGTTTTGAGAGCATGAGCTTCTAATCACCTGAGATGGAAGACCAGGCCACCCTGAAGCTAGCCGACCAGCCTTGGTTGGACTTTGCCTGCTCATCCCTTCCACTACGCATCAACGAGTTCAAGCCACAAGAGCTGGCAAACTTCATCTGGTCTCAGGCTGTGATCACGTTCGACAGCCCTGTGATCACCAGCATTGTCCAGAGAGCAGAGGGAATCATAAATGAGTTCAGCTGCCAAAGTCTCGCGAACTTCGTTTGGGCGTACGCCAAGCTTGGCTACCAGGGCGAAGACACGATATCTTTGTTTCAATCGGCTGCGTTAGGCAAGATCCACAGGCTGTCGGAGCAGGACTTGTCAACAACGTTATGGGCATTCAGCACGATGCAGCACCGAGACGACCACTTCCTGGATTCATTCAAGGCAGCCTTGTGGACAAAGCTTCGGGAGCAGCCTTTAAAGGCGCAACATGCATCCAACATCCTTTGGGCAATGGCGTCCGTGTATTTTCAAGACGCACCTCTCTTAAATACCATGGCATGGAGTGTGAAGCAGTCGATTGCAAGCTTCAGTCCCCAGGATCTGTCATGTAGTATCTGGGCGTTGGCCACTGTGGTGTACTCGGATCAGGAGCTCACGGATTTGGTCGCACATGCAGCTGCAGATCAAATGCCAAGTTTTGATCCCCAAAGCGTCGGCAATGCTGCGTGGGGAGCAGCTTACTTGCGTACGTCCGTCAGATCGCTGTACACGGCCCTCTCGCACAGAATCGAGAATGCCAGCTGCCTGGTATCATACAACGACAAAGTGCTAGCCATGATCGTGCGGGCCTTCTTGCTGGCAGGTGAAGTCTCTTCTGCATGGAAGCTCTTCGAGAATCTGCAGCATTTAAATCTCAATCCGGGAATTACTGCACTTGGTGCTTGGCTGCATCACTACCGGCACGTGCAGCCATCTATCGAAAGGGAGATGCAGGTCATGGACGTCATGTCGAGATTTCAACCCTGCAGGTACATCCAGCAGGCCATTCTGAACTCATGCGCTTTGCGACTTGCTCATGCCGGGCACTGCTGCGAAAGCGAATCCTTAGCGCGTAAGTTGATGAACGCCGATGCCGGCAGCATCGTCACTCAGGCAGTGCTGACCAAAGTTTCAAGCCAACCGAATTTGCCCCCACAGCTGGCATTACCCCAGTGGACGATGCCAACAAAAGTCAGGGGACACTCTGGCATAGACTATGACAAGCAGTGCAGGCTGCTTCAGCACGTTCTGTGCACGGCGCAGGCAGAGGATCCATTGTCTGTTGTAAGCACCATTGAGAATTTCTCAGTTGATGGAAATGGGTGGTTGAAGATCGCAGGTGGTGGAAAGGGCGTTGTCCTTGATGACCTTGTCACCAAGCTCGCTCCACAACCGGTTGAGCTGATATTAGAGTTCGGATGCTTTGTTGGGTACTCATGCACAAGGATGGCGAACTTATTAACTCCGGGAGTTGGCAAGGTGGTCTCCGTAGAAGTGGATCCGATACACGCATGCATTGCCCGAAACGTAGTTGAGTTTGCAGGTGTGGCGGACAGGGTGTCGATTTGCATCGGATACAGCGAGGATGTGATCCCACACTTGAAAGAATCATGCGAGGCATGTGGTGCCGCAGTGGCCGCAGATGCCGTCTTCTTCGATCAGCGTGGAACTCGATTCCACACTGATCTACACATGTTGGATTCTCATGCTTTGATGAAGGATCGATGTGTTGTTTGCGCCGATAACGTGTTGAAGCCTGGGGCTCCGCATTTTCTCTGGTATTTACAGAACAGCCCGATTTACGACCTAACAGTTGTGTCGCTCCGTGAGTTTGCAGCGGATCGGATCGAAGACTGGATGGCCATTGGGCAGTACCACCCTGGCCGATCTCCTGAGAGTCCTGCCATGCCCGACCCGCCCAAGTCGTTGGACATGGTCGCTTTCCTGACAGACAAAGCTCGGGCAAGCAGTTGCAATGCTGATGGGCCTTGTGAGGTTGATGAGGATGCCTGGGCTCGACACGCGCAGGCAATTCGCCTTGCCTATGAGACAGTTGGGATCGCGCCGCGCATTGTGTACGTCCAGAGGCAGAACGGCCACCCATTTGTACAGTGGTAGCGGCTGGTAGCGATGCATGACGCAAGGTTCCACAAGAAACCGACCTTTGCGGCCGCGGCATGCCTCGCTTCGAGAGAAAGATTGAATTGCTTGAGGCGTCCATGCCTGGCCGAAGGCCGAGGGCGCGGCGTCAGGAGCATCTGCTAAGCCACTTTGTTCAAAAGCTTCTCGCCCTTGCCGTCTTAGAGCCTCTGCCGTGCTGCCTGGACGCCTCCCGCTTGATTCTAGCCAAGCACTGCACATGCGGCGGCTTCCCTTTTAGCTGCCTTAGCTCCACTCGGCAAGGGCTATCGAGGTCTTCAGAGTCCCATGTCGCGTCCCGGAAATCCTTTACATTTGCGAGCACTGCTGATGTGCATTGCCTCTCAATCGTCTTGCCTCGTGTCTTCCGTGTCTTCCGGGTTTGGTAGTGCCTGACAGTCTGACACCATACATTGACACACTAGGTGACATGAGCCTCAAAGGCTGCACAAGCGCTTGCAGAGTGATAGATCTCCTTTGACGCAGGCCTACAACACAGCCTACAGTTTGGATGTGCATACGTGGACCTGGAGAAGCTTGCGGAACAGCCACGAGCTGAGAGCAGTGCTCGTGGAGTTTTTTGACGGGCGCCGCGTGCCAGCGCCCTGCGAGCAGGCAGTGTTGCCAAGTTTCAGGGCGGCCAACTGCACCTATAGTGAGTGTTCCCCTGCAGTAGCCAGGGCTTGAAGCTAGACGACTTGCCGCCCAAGGTTCGGATCAGTGCCCCACGCCTCGCTACTTCGCGTCCTCCTTCGAGGCTAGAGTTAGGAACCGCCTAGCCGAGTCTAGCTGATTGGCGGTGCGCCCATGCTGGGCGCACCAAAAGACGGCACGATGAGTCCGACACAAATCATGTAAATGAGCACATGTCGGCTTTGTCAAAAGCAGTCCTGCCGCCAGTTCAACGGCGCGCTATATGCGTGGGGTGGTCGCTGCAATCAGTGGCCTGGTCGAAGTAGCGATGAGCGCTCAGAACATTTTACCCAAGGTCTTCCGAGTGTAGGAAGAAACGCGGGAGCACCATGGAGCCAGTGACGTTATGCTCTTTTCATGTAGGTTTGGTGATGGCGAGCCTGGACACGGCCCTAACCCCGGGCACATGCGTTGGCGGCAGGAATAGTTATTGCGATGACCTTTGGCGTCTTGATCGCTCCCGAGCACATCAGGACACCACAGCCACGGCTTTTGTCGAGACAGTCACTTCTAGGTCCTTGTACCCCCTCCCAACTCACGATGCCATCCCCCTCTGGCCGATGTATAAATCTAATACGACTCAGGGGGGCAGTTCTGAAGTAAGGGGAAATGGAGTCTCGTTTTCAGGATGTCATCCACACCGACAGGGTCCCAGCCACAGGCAGCCTTCCGCCGGCAAAGTTCGCAGCGCTTCTTGGCTTCGGCAAGCCTTGAACACGTGAAAAGCCATTCCGAGATTGGCTTTGACGGGTTTTGCTGTACATGTCACGTGCCAGGTGCTTTGTGTTGAAGGTGAAGTTGATCGTCGAGTGGGCAGGTTGTGTCAAGTCGTCGATGCCCGATGCCGAAGTACACCTATTATCACCTACTGCACCTAGAGGCTTGCTGTTCTTGCCTTCCTGCTATGTCCCAGCGTTGCCCACAAAGCTACTGCAGCCCAACATGATGTGAATTCATCTAAAGCATGCGGCCCAGGACACTGACGAACTGATGCTAGGCTGCACGAAATTTTGGAACTTTGGAACAGGCCCATGTTTGCTGGAGTTGGGGTCTCATTCCCAGTGTGCCCTTCCTCCAACCCGACACCTCCCTGAAACCCAATTTCAAAGCATGCTCTCCGGATTCTGAAGCTCTTTGTGCAATCAGGTGATGACCGCTTTGCGGTACTCTTTGGCGGCGGCCAGTGGCAAACTGGGGGACGCTTCCAGTCGGACCGCCGAAAAAGTGCTTCAGCAGGGTCCCAGGATTGGATTTGCAGAGTCACCCTAAGCCCTAAACCCTCATCCCTGTCGGATTCCTCCTGAGCGGTTCGTCCAGCTACGTGGGTGCTAAAAAAACCCTAAACCCTTTTGACAAAACTGACGGACTCCAGCTGCAAAAAGGGGTCGGAAGATGTTGGAAGTGTGCGGAAGAGAGTCAGGACGCCGACACCTACTCACTGGATTTGGAGACATTTCTCTGGACGAAGCTCGCAACGTTTGGCCCGGAGCCGACGTGGCCTGCCTCGGAATGAGGTTTAAAAATCACATGGTTTAACATGTCAGGTGTTCAAGATCCGAACTATCCCGAAGCTTATTGAGAGTTCATTGGGCCAACCTCCGCCCTTCTTTCCGGGGTGGAAGCCATCTGTCCTTTGGATGTGTCTCGCTCCTTTACTGCCCCTCTAATCACAGAGAGTCCAGCATTTGGGTCGAACATCCAGCGCAGAGGCTTAGGCGACCCTGTGCTCTGGCGTCTGAGGCCACGTCTTCAACATTCCGCCCTAAATTTGGGCGGCAATCTTGTGGCTCGGCTCTGCGTCTGCTAAACACACTTCTGCCCGGGAGCAGAACTGGCTTGCCCACAAGTAGGCAGTAGGCACTTAAGCAGCCTGCAAGAAAAGGACATTGAGTCCTTTGAAGAAGCTTAGACGGACTCCTTCCGATTTCAAGGTCTTGATACTGGGAGGCTATGAACCTCGCCAGCGGCGTGGCGTGGCCTTTCAAGTGGATGCGCTGTTACCCACCTTACAAACCCTGCTTACTCAAAGCTACAATAAGGGGCCATGCTGAGTGAGGAGAAGGTTGAAGAGGGAAGCAACAGGGATCCTGCAGACTTCCCGAGCTTCATGTGCAGCGCAGCATTGTAACATTAGATTGTTACTGATATGTAAGTTTTACTCTTTGTAATATTCTATTGCTATAGTCTTATACTAGTGCCTACATTGTCATGTATCTAACGCTAGGTCTGGCAGTCAAAATTTGCAGCCTCATGAGGATATCTGGGATTGGAGAGCGCGTCTGTCCTGAACGTCCGCAGCCTGCAGTGGATGAAGCTTAACTCAGGCCCATTTCGGTAGTGAAACCACAGGGACCGCAGACTGCTGCGTGTGTCTGCATTAGACCATTCACAAGCTCCGTTATGCCGACATGTTTTGCAGGATCTAGTTTTCTCAGGCCTCGCGAGAGACATACAGAGGCCATCTGGGAGTGTTACTGTTTAGGATTTTAGGGTTTGAGGGTTTCCTGACCATTCCCTGCCTGCCAACTCCCCAAGCCCGGATGCAAAAAAGGGTTTCAGGGTTTTAGGGTATAGGGTTTCAGATTTGTTTAGAGTTTTAGGGTTGTTTAGGGTTTTAGGGTTTTAGGCAAGATGTCATCGGGCGTCCCATGCGAGAAGAACGCAGGAGATCCTTAGCGAAGAAGCTAGTTATCAATCGACTGCAGAAAACAAAGAAATCACCGCCTTTGCTGTCTGTGGCGTTGGCAGTATAAATTCTACGCAGCTTGTGGATCCACAACCAGCAAAGGGCAACTTTGAAATACATTAACCGGTCAGACACTTAAGGCCTTTCTTGTACAATGCTGTGTTCGGCTTGCGTGCGCTTGGGAAGTTCGTTAATCGTATGCAGAAAGACGGTTACCTGCTTCCTAAGCGTAGCTGGGAATTCCGATTCATGAACCCACGAAGACGGGACGCTATTCCGATAGCGAAGAGGCAAAGTCGGAGACTCCATCTTGGCTGTGTTGGCTTGTGCGATCCAGCCGGTTTGCGCCACAAATTCCAGATATATTTCCAGCACTGATACACGCGACTGCGTTTGCTTCCTTGACTGAAACATGAAAAACCTTTGCAGTACCCACAGCAAGCGCGGGCCCATCAAGCAATCGTCGAATTCCGCAAAGGTTGGGCACACGTCTGTTTCTGTATTCCCCCCAAGTCACAGATGAGGTCAGTTTGTCCTTGTCCACCCAACCCTAGCCAAACCCATGGAAAGCGCATTGGACAGGGTTTTGGGGTTCAGGTTTGCTGCCATGCAGGCCCCATCCTGCAGGTTGGTTGCGCCGTGAAGGCCCGAGTTTCGTGAGGTTCTTGGTGGCGAGCGGGCTGTGGACCACAAAGGAATGCGGGTATTGTTGCGGGCGCGGAATGTTGCACATCCCTCTTGCTAATCGCAAGGTTTACAACTCTTTCCCGGAGGTCCGAAATGGGGATGGCGCAGTCTACGATGCAACGGTTCTGGGTGGACCGGTGCAGCCTGGACCTTAGCATCGCTTGACTCGGATCGTTTCCGGGCTGTCCTGAAACAAAGGGTCGGTTCCAGTTCGGTTCAGTTGAGGATGTAGTAACACCCACGTGGGCTACGACGTGCTTCTACTGCACGCAACGAAGCAATCGTGCGGATACGTTTCCATCCACTAGAGAAGGCTATTCTGCTTAACCCGAGATCTTCAGTCTCAAAGACTCAGAGTGAAAGAAGCAAGACCTCGTACAGCTCACCAGGCTGCCTCGACGCGAGGTGCAGGGCTGGCGCGTGCGCGTCGGGGACTTGGATCAGGGTTGGGATCAGGTTCGGGGCGGTACAGAGCCGCGCTTGTCCCTTTGCACTTCCGTCAGCATCGAAAACATAAATACAATGGTTTAGACTACGCAAGAAGCCACAAAGCCTCTAAACTCGCTTCTTAAAGTCCTTGGCACTGGGTCGTATGCGCTTTGCCGTATTTTGACGTTGTTGAACTTAACGTGGCATTTTAGGCCCGAAGGCAACCGCAGAAACCTGAGAATCATTGGCAATTCTATTCATACAGATTCTTATTCTCAACTGCAGTTCACAGTTTGCAATGAGACCCTTGTCGACAGTCCTACCTCCTGCTTCAAGTTCCAGAAAAATGACATTCCAGGACCATGAGGACAACGTCCGAGTCGTTGCCGCCGATCAACTGACAAAGGCACTTAACTCTGAGTCCCTTTCTCACATAGTCCTACATACATACATATATACATATATATATGTATGTATGTGTGTATGTATACACACATATTTTTGTGTATGTAACATCATATACACATGAGGCTTATGTTCCATGCCCATTATCCCGCGTCTTGATGTCCGATGTAACTTTTCACTCACGCGCTGGACATGTGCCTTGCATGTCAATGTCACTTTGGAAGCAGATTGGGTGCCTTGCCTGTTCTGCAAGGATTGATGAGTTATGAGGTGCAGGTTGCCCCAAGATCTCACGCCAAAGTCGGCTGAAACGGAGAGTGGGGATGATGGTGGAAGATGGAGGATAAAATGAACACAAGCCCGCCTTCAGTTCTTTGCCGGAGGTCTCAGCCCCGAGCCGCAACAACTCGGACACTGCCGAGGATTCATGTCTTTTCAAAGCCGGCGGGGGTAGATTGTGGATACTTCTATCCTTGCACAGCAGAAGGGCCACGCAGCAACTTTTTGCTTGCTTCTTCTTTCTGGTCCACCATTCTCAAGCAAACCTGCTGATCTGTCAGAATGATGGGGTGAATGAAGCTGGAGCAGGACACTGCGGAGCGGGATTTGAATCTGCCACTTGGCTAGGATTGCTGCGACACCAAGCTGCAAGCACTTCTCTTCAGGTTCACTGCGCTATACCCAGCATTAGGCGCCACGTCGCCACTGCCGACGATACTTGTAGGATCGCGGTTCATGCCACGAGTGTACGTGCAGTTAAAGTGTACCATACGCTCATGCGCATGGTGTTTTTCGTCTTTACTGCCCAGCAGGTTGAGTGATCTTCCCGTGCCGCATTATGCCGGGCACAGGTATGCTCCCGGGCTGGATGACTTGTCCTACATCGACATTCAGGAGTATCTGGGAGTAGGGATTAGGAGCTTGCAGGTTGAAGCTATCCACGGCTCATGGTCCATCCCTTGATGCCCAGAGGACGGTGATAGCTGGATGTCCGGCCAATTTCCATGCCGACGGGCAGGCCGCCTGCTACAGAAACTGAAAAATAGGTCGGCTAGGAGCCGGCAGACGGAATCTGAGCCACCCTTAAGCAGAGCTAAGCCCCTCGCCCGCAGCTTGCTTGGCCTCGTCTTTGCTCAGCTTGTGAAAGGGCAAACGGCGGTCTGTCAAAACGGCTCATGGCCTGCTTGAAGCGAGTAGTTCTTTTCGTCACACATACTCCCAAAGCACGTCATGGCAAGCTGCTTCTGTTGAGACTTCCAGGGACTTGGTTCTCAGAACCTTCACAGCAACACGCAGTGCCAGCAGCTCCATGGCTAGCGAATTCACGTGCGTGCTTTGAAGCAACATGCACCTCCAATGCAAGTCGCACAAACCACGATCTTTCAACGCATTTCCAGAAGTTTTTCTCAAGTCCAAAGGCAAGGAATCTAAACCCAACACCGTCGTCTTCCGAATATAGAGCGATTTATAGCATTCTGCGAGAGGCATGGCAGTGGCTCCCACCACAGCCCGCGGCTGCCACTCCTTCTTCCTGTTTGGAGGGGCGCAGACTCATGGCCAGAGGGAGAATTGTCATGTTGCGCATCTTTCTGGCTAACCAAGAGGTTGGATGGCTGTGGCTAAAGTAGCCTTGCGGTTGTTGTTGTTGAGGATTGTTATTCTCGGCGGTTCTTCGTTGTTCTTGTTGAACCCATCCATACGTTGGATTCCTGCAGGCCCTTGCTGCAGCATAGGCTGTGCTGAAACACAGCTGAAAAAATTCTGTGATGTTCGGCCCAAGGCTCCTATCCAGGGCAATTATGGAGGGCTTTTTGCTGGGCAGTGGTAGGTCCAGGTCCATCAGCATGCACACACGAAAGCCCAACTGTCATGCCGGTATGAGCTGACCGAACCACTCTCTGCGGCCTCCAAGGTACGTGCATCAGGCCACCTCTGCCGTTTGCCTTGCCCAATGTTGAGGGCCTTGCGACCATTTACACGTGCTGATCCTTTAAGGCTGATACCAGCACTGGAGAGAATTGGAGAGACATGGCAGAAAGTCAATGATGGTTGCACGGTTTCCGCCGTGTTTCGTCTCCTTCGGACGCGGCCAGGAGTGGTATTCCGACGTCTTCGAGTGCTCGTTGGACGCTGGCGGTTACGGCTGAGAAAAAGCAGATCCGCTCAGTTTCACCCATGTGGTGACCCCTGTCATTCAACTACGATGATTGACCTCGCACGTGTCCAACCCTGAAGGCTTAGAGTGATTGCAGTGTTCATTGACTAGGCATATTGCGGGGCCACGAGCCGTGCAGACTCGTCCGCCTCTGCAGTCCGAACAGAATCTTGTCGCACCACAGGGCCATAGGGGCTGCACATGACTCATGACTCATAGGATATTGAAAAAAGGTGGCCCAGATGTTGCAAGAAACGTTCGCCAGCTGCCGGATCAAAAAAGGTCGCATGCTTCCAGCAGCTGTCACACATTGACTTTTCACTTTGTCTATGACTGTGTAGTTGCGACCGCCAAGATTCTTGCACCTCTCCCAAGTACAAGTCGTTGACTTACCATTGTTGCTTTGCTGCTTTGAATCTCCAACTACCCAGCTCCCTCCTTCCGGAACTCCCGGGAATCAATGCCTCAAGCCCGTGAGGCGATCAGATCTGTCACAGGTGTCAGCTCGGAAGAGTTTACCGAGCTCTGGCAGGACATCTGGTCTTCTTTAGGACGTATTGAGCTGTTTTGCACATGGGGAGCTTTGACTGCAAAGTATTGTGCCCCCAAGTTAGATACCAGTCATGCTGGGCTTCGTGCTAAAAGTGAAAGGCCACAGGATGCAGGCTAAGCTGTGAGTAGATCGCATCTCATCCGCAGAGGATCTTATAGGAAGGCGCGATCATTCCGATCATTGGACTCGAGAACACTTGACTCTGCGGTTAGCTCTGCTCAGACGAGAATCAGGCAGCAGCATTTCAGGTTGGGAAATGGGGTTCCAGCTAAGTTAGCTACATAGTTCTTCTCCCGCATCCCAAACCGACATGACATGATGAGGGGCTGCCGACGTCAAGTCGTGCCCGAAGCCCGTTCCCCACCATTCAACACCTGTAGCCCTGAGATTGTCACCCACTCACGTGGATTCATGCCTTAAGGTATGCAAAGGGCCCGTGGCACGCATGATGAGGCGCTTCTACCATGCCTGTTTGTTTACTTCTGCCCTCTGCCCAATCGCGTTGGAAGCCTCGAGACATGGCTTCCTGAGCGCCGGCCATGCTCACTTCAGCCTTGGAGCAGGCGGGCTCCGGGAAACTGTGGGAGGATGGGCTCCTAGACCCTCCTCCCTCCTCCCTCCTCCTCCCCCCCCCCCATGTCCCTGTACGACGACACGGAAGCGAGATACCCGGAGCGTTAACTGCCATTTATCAAGGCCTAGGTCGAGGCATGTGTGTTGAGCAATGTCATGATCTGGCTTTAATGGGCACAAGGAGATGAGGTTTCAGGCCGTTGACATGGACCCCAGAGAGGATTCCAAGGCCGTTGCACAAAGCTGAGGGTGTCGGGTCTGCCTCCCTGCTGCAGGACTCCCGAAATCAACTGCTAGATCAACTGTCCAAGTCTCAGCGAGCGCGGTGCGTTCCACTGCATCTCGGCAGGAGAGCTTGGGAGCATGAGGTGGGTCATGAGTTGTCTATGTTGTCTCTAAAAGGAACTGATGAAGGACAGCCCATAAGCACACACTTGGAAACCTAAAGTGTCTGATGCAGGGTCCATGAATTCACATGGGATCTGGCTTCAGAGTACGGCCTGCAAGCCATATCCTACAGAATTCTTGGAGGCTTCTTGGCCTACGCTATCTTGAGACAGAATGATGTCCCAAAGCAAGCTGACAAGTATGCAGGAAGCATCAGGAAGCCGCAAGTGGCAAGCCGTCAAGAACCCGTATGGCTCTTCAGGGACAGGGCTGAGAAAGCTCGCCAAGGTTAAAAAGTGGGCAGGGGATCACCGCGCGCGCAAATCCATCATTGCAGCGCCTGGTCCTGCAAGACAGCTTCAGCTGCACCACTGGAGATGCGTTCCACATCACTACCAGTAGTGGCCAGAGCATTCCTTGGACAGTCGCTTCACTGTTGCAGCAGGGGGAGCACCGCCTCTTTTGACCCAGTTTGCAAGAAGCCCAACATTAGTGAAGATTTTTCTGGGGTCCCCTTAGCACAGATCAGCTGCCACAGCTTCTGTGGGCATGGGTTTAGGGTTTAGGGTCTATAGGGTTTAGCGTTCAGGGTTTAGGGTTTAGGGTCCAAAAGGCACATACTCGGGAGCTTTCTGCCAGGTTCTTGGCGTCTCTGGATGTTAATCCGACTTCGCCCTCTCCATCTCCGCATACCCCCAAGAGATACTTGGCCTTATGTAGTGATCACAATCCGAATGTTAAGAATGGTAATGGGAATACTGATGGAAGTAGCAGAAGTAGCAATGAGAGCAACAGAGTAACACTAGAAATAGAACTAGTATTAGCACTCATAACAACAGCCAGAGGGATGATACCAATCGCCAAATTAACAAGTGCAGGTCATACTTGCAACACGAGTAGAAGTAAGACTATTGGCAAGCACGATTCTAATTGCTAGTATGATTACTAGCAAGCGCAGGCATAATATGTGCATTGGTAAGTGTCATAGTAACCTGAATAATCAGACAAGCAGAACGTAACTGTAGAGGCAAACGTAAGAATAGTGTCGCAATTGCGATATTGAAATTCATAGTGGCAATGGCAATGGTAAGGCCGTCAGTACGTCGCGCCGATGATACTTACACGAGATGAGTTCAGGGGGCGCACTCCAGTGGGCGAGGAGAATGGTTGGTTTAAACTCTAAGACTCTAAGAGCCCCTCACCGAGGGTGGGTAGCATGTGAACCTCCTTTCGACTGGTATTGCACTCTGACCCCCCGACTGCCACGCACCTTCGGCTTGGACGCCAGCACCTTCAAATCCCCGAACTCACAACTCAAGACAAAAAACTGTAGACAATCTTCACTCGTCTGTCAGGCAGCCACAGCTCCGTGGACGCAAACACGAATGCTCTTGCAGCACGGAAGAGTCGGAGTTTACCGGGGCAGGCCACAAAACCTGGGAGTTTCCACATTTGTTGGCCACGCGGTGCTTCTCACCTGTCTCCTGTCAAGCCGATATCCTGCCCAGCCTGTGAGGCATTTTGAGTATGATGTTGAGGCATGTTGAGACTTTTGCCTTGGCAATGCCTTGGCTCTTGCGTTTCGTCATCGGCATGGCTCTTGAGTTCTTTTCTTGTCAGACGGGCTCATGTTGCATGCAAGACACTCCTTGAACACCCCCTAGAAGTCTACAAGTCGAGCCCCGCTGCCTAGCTTAGTACATTGTGCTAATCAGCACATATCAGCACGAACCATCCCTGGATCCCTGGAAGGTGCTTGCCTCAACAAAATCTCGAACATGAGCCTTGGACTTTACATTCCGGTGCTTTGCTTTGCCCATTTTTTGCCCTGCCCGCCACTTGCTACTGGTATCGACGTCGAGCATCATCGAGCTGTTTGGTTCGCTGCATGTGCAGCGCAGCTTTTGGCAGGTGCAGCTGCCACACACTTCCGGGCTTCCTTCAAAACGCCGACAGCGTCGCCGGCTGGCAAGGACAGGGGCATGAAAGGGGTGAAGCATGAAGCATCAACTGATCAGCAGAAGGGGCCGAGATCTATCCCACTGAACTAAGCAATCTCTGCAATCAGCCGTTTTGGCTCCAAAAGCACTCCTTGGCTAAAGCAGTCACCACATCTCACTTTGCGCTTTGCATCCCCATTCTCGCCATGGCCGCAACGAATGCCGAGAAGCCCGCATCTGCCGCCCCGGCCACCCCAGCGCCGGCCAAGGCGCCATCTTCCTCGGCCAAGTCCGAATTGAAGGCCGTGAAGTCTGAGCGCTCCCTCAACGCCCCCGCTAAACCAACGGAGGGCGCCGCGCCCACCCGCCTTGATGCCCTGCGTGAGGAGGGCACCAAGGTCGTCACCGATGTTCGCGCCAAGGCTGTTGAGGTGGTGGAGCTGGCGGCTGTGAAAGCACAAGCCGCCAAGGTGCGCGCTTTGGAGTCGGCCCACTCCTTACAGACCAAAGCTGGGCAGATGAAGCAATCCATCGTCACCTCCGCTTCCGAAGCGAAAGATGCGGGCATCCGCAGGGCACAGATGGCCAAGGAGGCCGTGGGCACCAGCTACACATCCCTGCGCACCAATGGCTTGCGGCCCTGGGTATCCGAGAATGTCTCGATGGCGATGAGCTTCGCGGCTACAGCTGCACGCAGCTCCCGCGCCGCCGCCATGCGCCAGGTCCAGTGGTCCGTGGATTCGGCAAAAGCCATGGCCCAGTCGGTGAAGACTGCTATGCAGACCCGGGTGCTGAACACCAGAAAGGCCGTGCTCGCCACCTATGCCAAGAGTAAGAGCAGGGCCATGAATGCCATCGACACTGCGAAGACCAAAGCTGTTGAGGCTAAGGACAAGGCCAAGGATGTGGTCCACGACAAGCACGTGCAGGCCACGGCAGCTGGAGTTGTTGGCGGTGCTGCCACGCTGGGTGTTTCTGGAGGTGCCACAGGACTTGCGGCGGGCACCCTGGTAGGCGGCGCTATTGGCATCCTACCTGCCCTGTTCACTTTCGGCCTTTCCATCCCTGTGGGTGCGGCCATCGGTGGTGGGGCAGGCCTCGCTGTGGGTGCAGCTGCCGGCGCTACTGCCGGAGCTGTCAGCGGCGGTGCGGCAGGCTATGGCGCATACGCCAAGCGCAGCCAGATCAATGAGTTCCGGCAGGACACTGTGAACAAGGTCTCCAGCAGCGTGGATGCGGTGAAGGGCAAGGCCGTCGCGTCCGCGCAGTTTCTGAAGGATAAGGCTGCTCTGGCTCGAATGCGCCTCGCCGGCAACGCAGCCACGGCTGCGTGAAGCCGCACCGGCAATGCTTGATGTCGATGGGCCACCAAGGAGGAGCTGCGAAGGCGTAGGTCTTCGCAGCTCTGAAATCTCCGCGAGCTCTCTGGGCCCCGGGCACAGCACAGCACAGGGGACGGTTGCGATGTAGGTCAAGCAGTCCCCTTGTTGCAGAGATCTCATCTACAGTTCTCATCTCATGACTCGTAGGAGTTCATGCTCCTTCGATTCGTGCTATCCCGGCGTTCCTAGACGCGCCTGTTTTCCATTTTGCATTCCCGGCCACAGGGGGAGGTCCAGAAGAGGCAGGTTAGGGCCGTCTCTTGACGACCTCTGTGCCGGCTAATTCAACATTAGCCTTGTACACACATGCCGGACCTGAGTTTAGGGCGCCATGGTTACATCAGATACTGCCCGAGACTGCGAGTATTCCCTGAGCAGGCCGTGTGTGCAGGTGAGAAGAGCAGAGCACCCCCTTGTCCAGAACCCCAGCTACAAGAGTGCTGCAGGCATCCCCTGAATTCGAATTTCGATTGTCCTCTGCAAGTGTCTCCGAACCGTGTCTGTTCAGCCACTAAAGACAGCGGCACTTAAGCTTCCTATTACTTCGAGGTGCTGTGCCACGCAGAGAGGCATGGATGGGGCTTGTTGTGCAGCGACACACAGTGCTCGGACGAACAGGGGGTGATGTGGCACTCCTCAGCACAGATCCTCGCTTTGTTGCACAGCATCACAGAATCGAAGCAGCCAAAAAAATGGAGTCCCAGGGACCGTCGCACAGCATGTTTGAATTTGAGATGTGTCTTGTTGAACGTGCATTTGCAACGCGAAGGGCCTTCTCTTCCTAAGCAATCTCTGCAATCAGCCGTTTTGGCTCCAAAAGCACTCCTTGGCTAAAGCAGTCACCACATCTCACTTTGCGCTTTGCATCCCCATTCTCGCCATGGCCGCAACGAATGCCGAGAAGCCCGCATCTGCCGCCCCGGCCACCCCAGCGCCGGCCAAGGCGCCATCTTCCTCGGCCAAGTCCGAATTGAAGGCCGTGAAGTCTGAGCGCTCCCTCAACGCCCCCGCTAAACCAACGGAGGGCGCCGCGCCCACCCGCCTTGATGCCCTGCGTGAGGAGGGCGCCAAGGTCGTCACCGATGTTCGCGCCAAGGCTGTTGAGGTGGTGGAGCTGGCGGCTGTGAAAGCACAAGCCGCCAAGGTGCGCGCTTTGGAGTCGGCCCACTCCTTACAGACCAAAGCTGGGCAGATGAAGCAATCCATCGTCACCTCCGCTTCCGAAGCGAAAGATGCGGGCATCCGCAGGGCACAGATGGCCAAGGAGGCCGTGGGCACCAGCTACACATCCCTGCGCACCAATGGCTTGCGGCCCTGGGTATCCGAGAATGTCTCGATGGCGATGAGCTTCGCGGCTACAGCTGCACGCAGCTCCCGCGCCGCCGCCATGCGCCAGGTCCAGTGGTCCGTGGATTCGGCAAAAGCCATGGCCCAGTCGGTGAAGACTGCTATGCAGACCCGGGTGCTGAACACCAGAAAGGCCGTGCTCGCCACCTATGCCAAGAGTAAGAGCAGGGCCATGAATGCCATCGACACTGCGAAGACCAAAGCTGTTGAGGCTAAGGACAAGGCCAAGGATGTGGTCCACGACAAGCACGTGCAGGCCACGGCAGCTGGAGTTGTTGGCGGTGCTGCCACGCTGGGTGTTTCTGGAGGTGCCACAGGACTTGCGGCGGGCACCCTGGTAGGCGGCGCTATTGGCATCCTACCTGCCCTGTTCACTTTCGGCCTTTCCATCCCTGTGGGTGCGGCCATCGGTGGTGGGGCAGGCCTCGCTGTGGGTGCAGCTGCCGGCGCTACTGCCGGAGCTGTCAGCGGCGGTGCGGCAGGCTATGGCGCATACGCCAAGCGCAGCCAGATCAATGAGTTCCGGCAGGACACTGTGAACAAGGTCTCCAGCAGCGTGGATGCGGTGAAGGGCAAGGCCGTCGCGTCCGCGCAGTTTCTGAAGGATAAGGCTGCTCTGGCTCGAATGCGCCTCGCCGGCAACGCAGCCACGGCTGCGTGAAGCCGCACCGGCAATGCTTGATGTCGATGGGCCACCAAGGAGGAGCTGCGAAGGCGTAGGTCTTCGCAGCTCTGAAATCTCCGCGAGCTCTCTGGGCCCCGGGCACAGCACAGCACAGGGGACGGTTGCGATGTAGGTCAAGCAGTCCCCTTGTTGCAGAGATCTCATCTACAGTTCTCATCTCATGACTCGTAGGAGTTCATGCTCCTTCGATTCGTGCTATCCCGGCGTTCCTAGCCGCGCCTGTTTTCCATTTTGCATTCCCGGCCACAGGGGGAGGTCCAGAAGAGGCAGGTTAGGGCCGTCTCTTGACGACCTCTGTGCCGGCTAATTCAACATTAGCCTTGTACACACGTGCCGGACCTGAGTTTAGGGCGCCATGGTTACATCAGATACTGCCCGAGACTGCGAGTATTCCCTGAGCAGGCCGTGTGTGCAGGTGAGAAGAGCAGAGCACCCCCTTGTCCAGCACCCCAGCTACAAGAGTGCTGCAGGCATCCCCTGAATTCGAATTTCGATTGTCCTCTGCAAGTGTCTCCGAACCGTGTCTGTTCAGCCACTAAAGACAGCGGCACTTAAGCTTCCTATTACTTCGAGGTGCTGTGCCACGCAGAGAGGCATGGATGGGGCTTGTTGTGCAGCGACACACAGTGCTCGGACGAACAGGGGGTGATGTGGCACTCCTCAGCACAGATCCTCGCTTTGTTGCACAGCATCACAGAATCGAAGCAGCCAAAAAAATGGAGTCCCAGGGACCGTCGCACAGCATGTTTGAATTTGAGATGTGTCTTGTTGAACGTGCATTTGCAACGCAAAGAGTACCCAAAGCCACAGTATCGCATCGTCCTTCTTTCGAGGATGAGAAGAGTTTACTAGCAAATTTGAAGTTTGTCCATTTACTTTCTGAAACACGTACTAACATTATCTGAAGTTTCTTAAGGGTTCGGGGCCTTCTCTTCTTTAAAGAAGAAAGGAAACTAAAGGGATTTCCGGGTATTGTGAAGAGCACCAGAAGGTATCATACTGCAATCTTTTTTGGTTATATACAGAGCCGCTTTTCCTCGTTCCCTGTATTAGAAATATCCTTGTCGGTGGCACACTGGACCGACGTAAGATCTCAGCATTTTCTCGACTTGGGATGCGATGGGCTTCTCCGAAAGTTGACCTCCAAGCCTCACTAGGAACCTGCGGGCAAGGAGACAAGGGCCTAGGCGTGAATGCACTCAAAAGCACGCACGGAACTTCACTAAACTTGGCTAAGCTCACTAAACTCTGCACCGTGGATCCTGTTCAGGGTCCGTTGACGGCTTCGCGGGACCGAAAGATGGAGCCCTCGGAGAAGCCGGCCCTCATCACGCGGCGCCCCAGCGCGACAAGTTGTAGCGATCCGCGGATTTCCTGGGTAGATTTCAAAAGGGATCGGTCTTGAGTCTTGATGCAAGGTCTTGACTTCGGGTTCTCATTTTTTCATGGGTTCTCTCATTTGCGAACGCGTTGTCAATTGGGAAATCTGCTCGGTCCATGCTGATACACCACCAATGGTCGGGGCAGAGACAGAATTTTGCACTTCGTGGCATGCAGGTGATTCACGCATCTTAGACTGTGGAGTCTAGCCAGGTCTGCAACAAGCCAAGTTTCATGTTGTGCCTGCAAGTGAGGTCGGTTCCACGCTTGCCAGGCAGAGTCCTTGAAGATACGCAGTCTAGCACCTCGCCTCGGAAACTGTGGCCAGCCAGGGTGGCACTCATACTCCATCATGCTCCAGGAGAGGTACCGACACATCCAAGCTTGCTCACGCAAAAAGCTGGGCCAACAGAATCCACGGAGAATCTGCCAGGGGAGAGAAATGCGTACCGAAACGATAGTGAGCGCTGGGACTTCCAAGATCCTGGAGCAGCCCCCACTGATGCACCAGGAGCCCTGCCCCCCGCACCCTCGGAGCCTCAGAACCAGAAAGGAACATGCGCAGCGGCACACCTTCCAGCTCATGATGTTCCTCCTCAGACAAGATCTGTTCAGAGCCAGGCAGGCTGAGGGATAAACTCAAAAGGCACCCAGTCAAGTAAGTAGTCAAGTGGGCCAAAGAATGGCTTTCCAGAATCCCCGAAGTTTTGCAAGGGGTCGGGGTAGCTTTGAAGAGCCCAGGCCTCTGTCTGACTGAATCCGAAACTGCAGCAAGGCTCCCTTAGACCAACTCTCCCAGGCCGCGAACCTCCGGCGCTCACCTCGGGACTGGCAACCCAAGGTCCCCCAGCCCAAGGACACCCGAATTGACCGAAGGCGGTCCAAGGGATTGGAGGGTGGTGTCGTACTCCAGCACAGGATGCTGGAGTACCGGGAATCAGGTCAGAGGGTCTTGCAATTTGGAATCAATTTGGACATCCAGGTAGGTGTTGGCCGCCGCATTGCTTGAAGCCTTCGGCACACGACTCCTTAGCAAGACACCGCACTCGGCGTTCCCACATCTACCCTCCGGTACAGCGGCGCGCTTCATCAGTGTCTTCGCCTGGGGGTTGCGAAGGAGAAGGCAACCTCGGCCGGGAAACCGGAGAGTCCACGGCTGCGCTTCGACACTTCAAGTTGAATGTACGTAAGGGCTTGAGCTGTAGAAGTCGTCCGGTTGCTCAAGCTCAAGAACTTTGGGGTTGAAGAAAACAGTTTCTTGCAGCCTCGGATTCGGGGCCTGCGCACAGAGACGGCGTGCAGCACCCCGCTGACAGAAGACCTTAATGCAGTACAGCTTGGATTCGAGCTGCGGATGCTTACCGCGGAAACCGAGGTCCTACAGTCGGCGCGCTGCCTCTCCGGAGCGAGCCGAGTGGTTCCAACCTCCACGGCGCCCCGCGTCGCCTTCACCCGAGCGGCTGCCGCGGCCCACACAGCCCCAAGCAGAAAGGTCTCAGAGTCAGGGGGAAGTGCGATGCGCCGAGCCAAGACTTCAGAGCCTCGCAGAGGCAAGGTATCAGAGAAGGGTACACCTTGTTGGCCCAGAGAGCGGAGAGCACTCTCCTTCACCTCCACGCCCTGCGTACAGCGTTCCGACGTTGCGGGCTCCATCGCCGCCGGCGGTGCCTCAACCGGAGGCGGACACTGAAAGCATTGCCTCTAGATATAGATTCAGAAACACTTAGGACCAGCATCCACATGTCTGTCGTCGGGGCCCCACACACACACAACAATTTGGGAAAATATGTTTCTCTTGTGCAAGAGTCCCATCGGCTTTTCTCCAGGTCCGAATACCAGTTGATCTCGGAGGGTACGCCAGCGCCATCCGTGTGGGAACGCCCACCATACCGCCTCCCAGTGGCCACAGCTTGCCGTCCTGGGCAACCACAGATGCAGGTCGGCTGCTTGCTGACCTCAATAGATCCCCAGAGATCCCCAGAGGTTGTCCAGCTTAACCCGGCTGAGAGGTTTGGGGTGTTGTGTTCGGAAACCCCCCCTTGCTAGGTTGGGGTCCACCATGTGCAGTATGAGTTGCAGAAGAATGGAGATCCGCGTGGTAGTTGTACTGTAGATTAGCTCCGGAACATCCCAGTGTCCAGAAGCGCTTCTCAGGCCTCAGCCCGTTTCACAAGAAGCTTGCCCACCTTGCAGCAGAGAAGCTTGGTGACTTGCAGGGTAGAGCGGGTTGTTACAGGACAGCCCGATCGAAAGTGCCCTTTCTCGCAGTCTGTGTTTTTAGGGCCTCTAATGTGAGAGGAAATGCATCTCTTGAAGCATTCAGTCGCTGCATGTGGGACTTGCCAACCACCTCGGCCTTCACAGAGCCTGCGCCAGGTCGAACGATGTACTTGACGTTTGGGAGCTTTGACTTCGAACGTGAAAAAAGCAACAAAGTGAAGTGGAGCCTCCTCATGCAAGCCACCCAACTCATCGTGCGGCTCTGCCCCGAAAGAAGCTACAAGAAGATTCGACGTACTTGCTCAGGAAGCTCCAGCGTGCCTGGCGCCGATGGTGGCTGTGTAATTGCAGCTGCTTCGGGCCACAAGGTTGCGGGGCCGTTGCTGTTCTGTCTTGAGATGGCGCAAGGATGGGTGTCCAGCACGGGGGATATCTAGCGAGTCGGCTGAAGAACTTGAAGAACTCACGCATGCTGAACCCTTCCGCGCTACTGCGGCTCGGGGACTTTGACCTTTTGTGAAGGTACTGTAAGCGGGTGACAGCACAAGGGCCTGCTACACACGCTGAGTCAGTGACGTCCTGAAACATGAATGTCTGGTCTGAAGGGCTTCGCGCACTGCGGGGATCCATTGTGCCTCTTGGCGTTGCAAAGACCTGGGAGCTTTCTTGGGCACCTTTTTCTGACCCATTGGTTCAGGTGGATGCCTGCCCGTAAGCTCACGAACCACGCATACTTTGAACTAATGCGGCCCGTGATTTCGCTCTTCGACCGCTCAGGTACCTGCAGCGTTGGTGGCGTGACATTCTACTCCGCAAACTGATGAGAAAGCAGGCCTGCGGGGGCACGAAGGCTTTGAATTGTCGTGAATATCCTACAAGTATGGCAGGCTGTATGACAGGCTACTAGGGTCTAGTAGGCATCATTGAGAGAGAGCTGCCGTCAACCTGCAGGACCAGTCGAAGTCAGCCCCACCACCCAAACTCCAAATCAAAAAACCCTCCTGTGTACACTCACAATCTTGGTAGATCTTGGTCGCTGCTCACAGAGCCGTGAGCAGGTCGCCAAGGTTTGGCGTGGCATCTTCCTCCGCGCACAACTCATGCATGCGTCCGCCGCGAGGCCTCCAGGATAGGCTTTGCAGATCGGAGACTAGAATGGATTGTTACTAGGTTACATGCAGCGATCTTGGGTTTTGATCCATCCCAGCCATACTCAAGAGACGCTTCGCGTGCCTTTCATAAATTCGGGGGTCCGGCAAGTACGTCGCACAACTGAACAGGCAGACTCAAGCATCATGACTGTTGGGCTTCAGAAGCAATCCCGGAAAGATGCTTTGTCGTCTCTGACTGCGCAGTTTCCGACCTGAAGCCTGCAATCCGGCCCCCAAACCTGTGTCAGCGAGAGGCTGCAGCGGGGCTGGCGCCCTTCGATGGCAGTGGGATGTGGGGGGTTTGCAGTGGCTTAGAGTACTTAGAGTACTTAGAGGCTTAGAGCTGCACGCAAGGTGAAGCTTGGGAGCCGAGGCATGCATCTGGCGACTCGATGGCGACTTCGCCTTCGAAAGGCGGTTGAGGACGGTGCGGCGGTTGACCCAAAAACTGTTGCCGTAGTCTTTTCAAGGTATGCCCGGGCAGGTTGGGGGCACTTTGTACAGGTCATGCCGCGTGCGACATGGTTGCAATAGAAAGCGGATTCAGCTTGCATCTATGTGTTCGCGACTTTTAAGGACGGATACTACAATCCTAGAAGAAAGCCAGTGAGCCTGGACGCATTCGACTTGGATTGCAGGATATTCAAAAAGCGTGGCGTTGTCACAGAGCTTGCGTCCGGCGGAGGCTTCGGGTGCATCCGATCCCAAAACTGCAAAGCCATCCAACTTGCAATTGCCAGCTGACAGCCTCGCGATTCCAGTGCTCACGTTTGGCACTGCATAGGTCTGGATCTGGGTTTGAAAAGAGTTTGGCGGTCTGTGCTGACGGTTTCTTGAGGCCGCGGCCGCTGTGCATACGGATCATACGAAGTTGAGGTGCTCGATAGTGCTCTCGAGAACTTCACCGCAGCCTCGTATTGCCCAGATGCCGAAATTTCCCGTAAGAATCGTGATGTCTTCTCGTCCCTGCAAGTCTGCTGCAGCTAGATCCCTCAAGCCTCATCCCCTGTGCATCCCTATGTTTCGGATCGGTGGTAGTGGCCACTGGAATTTGCCAATTGAGAAGCTGGTAACTGGAGGCAGAAGCGCGCGGCTCTGCAGCAACTGACATCCTTTGCACGGAGGAAGGGTGCCGTGTGCTTTGCTCCCAAGCAGCAAGTTAAGTACCTGCACATAAGTGACAGCTCAGGTATTAAACTTAAGGCTTGCCATGTCTTATGTTATCAGATGAGGCAGATTGACTTTCGTTGTACAGCTTAGAAGGATCTTCATCCACTTTGTGAGATTGATTGGTCATGCCTGCCTTTGTGTATGCACTTGAACATGAGGTTGCTTCTTGTCGAACCCCGGACGGACTGCGCATGACCCCAAACCCAGAATCCCGCAATGCCAAAAACAACTAAGGTGGTCAGAGCCATGAATAGGCTCATCCAGGCAGGATCACAGAGCAAAACTAACAAAGGAAGATTGCTTCAGGCAATTTCTGGTCCATATCAGGGAGTGCCTTGCGGGGAGATTGAACACATGCCCCTTTTTGTGGAGCATGTGTGTGGCCTGTCAGGAGGTTGATTGGATATTCAGGTGTTGAATGTGGCATAGCAATCTGTTCAGCTCCTGCACGTTGAGGGCTTGGGAGGGAAGGTCCTTGAGGTTTAGGGGAGGGTTTTTTGGTCAACTTGAATTACGGGCTGATCCTGCGGGATCCTGTTTAAGGTGGCCAAGCTGTATTTGTAGAGGGCCACCCGGCTAGAGCGGGTCCCAGATTTACTGCATAACAATGTTGCAGTATCTGGCACAAAGCACCAACTACTGGGGGCTTCCGTAGTGTTCTCTTCGGCCAGGTGAAGCACGAAGCTGCCGTTTGCATTCAGAGCTCTTGGCGCGGGCTGCAGGCGAATGACTTCTTCTTGCCTGCCCAAAAGTTCCGAAGCCTGCTTGGGTACGAAGCCAGATACCGAGACCTCAACAGGGCCACGTAGTGCTGAAACCGTCAATCTCTTATTGAACTTGCATGTTCTTGTATTCTCATATGGCTAGGTTGTTATATTAAGTTTTTGTTGTATCTATATTGAATCTATATGTTTTACATGATTCGGAACTCGTCAGATCCGGCGCCGCTTCGCCGGAGACCGCGACCAGATGGAGCGTGCACGTGATCGGCGGGAGATCATCCGGCGCAAGGTGGCCTTTTGTGCTGGACGATGCCGCCAGTGCAGTCTTTATATTGAACTCGCTTCTTGGGATGCGTTCCGAAACAAGTTGCGCAAGAATTCTGTGGACCGATGTTCCCAAAATCCCGAAGTTCCTGGATTGATCAGGATTCCTCAATTCTTGGCTTCCCCGACTTCTCCAAGTTGTTTTGTCGTTTGCGAGTGGCGCAGGCGCAGCTTCTGGAGGGCAAGGCGTCAAAGGCCCCGACAACTCCGAGCCATCCGAGCCTACCGCCACGACGCTTGGCCTTCTGTGTCCACGGCTTACTTTGGAGGTTCAATGGTAGCCCCAAGTCTAACTGTACTTGTAACCGACTTAGGGGCGTACAAGTACAGTGATAAATTGAGATAATTCGTACCCTTGAACCTTCAAGAAATACGACGAGCTGACCTTCCTTTAAGCCATCTCTCCGCAGCTAAGGGATCTGTGGCCCCGGCATAGTGCAGAGCACCTCCGAGAATCTTGGCCCCTTCAGGAAGCCTCGAAGGCTGCGAGTTTGGAGCTTCTAGGGGTAGGCAAGCAGTGTCACTTTTTTGGGGCGATTGTGGAGGATTTCTGCTTGGCGATTTCGATACGACTCCTGACATTGAGATACAGCATACTCCCACGCACAAGGAAGCCAGCCAGCAATGCCTCCTCGGCAACGCCACGTGATGGGCGCATGCAGTCTCGGAGCAAGCGCCTTTCCCTAGGTGGAACAAGGGATGGAATGGGAAGGTAGGTGTGTAGAACTGTTCTTCGTAGAGTTGCATCATAGTGCTTCTCTGTATTTCCTCGTGTTAAACTGCTTGACAACTGGAGGGACACGTTTTTCAGGCTGCGCTTGGCATCCTGGTTGAATCAGGGGTTGTGCTGGTACTTGGGCCTTGGGCGTTGTTGGTGATGGTTGCGAGTGTGCCAAAAGTCTTCCCCGTTTTCTGGGAGTAGCAGCTTCGAGCCACTACAGCATCATCCCTACACAAGACGACCATGAAACTGCACGATGAATAAAGTAGAAAGTGAGAGGCAGCAAAGATCCTCCAGCCGCTCCACGCCCCCACGCACAAGCTCCCGCGGGCTCCATATCCATGGCTAAGTTCTTGGCTTCACAGCCTCTCGGCACAGCCCATGGGAGCCCTGCAGAAATCAGTTGACCTCTCAACACAGGTAGGCGCACTGTCCGTTTCGGATGTTTTCTGCCCTCAAGACTCTCTAAGGGTTTCCTAGATTTGTTCGATTGCGCTGCCCTCAGAAGTGGAAGTTGGCAGCATCAGCTGAGTTCACATGGACAGCACCCATAAGTCTCTCGCACAGGTGGCAATCAAGTGTCTGTAGCGGGTCAGTGTAGGCCCTAAAGCCGAACAGAGTAAGCTGCGCAAGTCCCCCCATAGTAGTCACAATCTTCCTGCTTTGGGCTCTGCACCTCACTTTTCACTCTATGAAGCTCCAATGCCCCAAGACAAAATATTATGGGTCCCTGCTGAGTGCTTCGTCCAGCTATGCGTCTGCTAATCGGTTGATTTCAGCCTGCGTCCTAGTTGAACAGAAAAGGTCTCAGCAAGGGGCGATACAGCTTTAACTTATCTCAACCCTGAACATTCAGAATTCAGGCGCGAGCCCTCCAAATCAAACAGCCTCCCAGGAACGCACTTTCTTCGTCTTTTCGCAACACTACGGCTGTGGATGTCCCAGCGCTCCTACGCAGCCTCTTGACGCGCGGCCTCCTCTCGAGTGCCTCAGACTGCCTTTTTTCCGGGGAACAAAGAGGTACCTCAAAAACAATCGCAAGAAAGTATTTGTCGATTTTGTCGCACGTGTATTGCCTTTCAAGGGGTTTTCGAACACCCTGGACATATGTGTGTGTTGCCGAAGAATTTTACATGGGGTTTTGAACAACCTGCCAAAGTAGATTTGGGGGTTCTCGAGCTAGGACCAAGGCACGTGTTCGATCGGAGATGTTGCGGGCAGAGTCGCTTTGTTTTGGGTTTCAGGGTGAGGGCTGAACAACACTTGGAAGCAAGATAGTCAACGTGTACTTCCCAAGGCATGACGGCATGACCCTGACAGATAGGAAACGCAGCCTGGCGTGGGGCCCAACGCCAAGCCAATCCTTTCACCAAGCTCAGGGCATGGGAGCCAGGGTTAAAACATCAAAGTCCCTGAGCCTGAAGGCCGGCCACATAGCTCGCCCTTCTCTGCGGAGTTGGGCCGCAATTCAGATCTCGAGGCGGGGAATTTTTTCTTAGCCTGATCAGCAAAGTAGTACCATAATGTGAACTCCTCCCGAGCCCTCCATGTTCATGTTGACGGAGAGAGAGAGAGAGAGAGAGAGAGAGAGTACATTGAGCACACTCCCACAATAGCACGTACAGCCATACAAGAACAGAATGCTAGGGGAGGGCCATGGCCGTACAAGGAAGCTTGGCAATGAGGGAGAATCAACGTATCCTTGAAGTGCATAGACTCTGGGTTGGCACCTGCGCCCGGGCCCCACTCCTCAGGCCATTCACAATTGGCTTGCGAGCTGCTTGGGTCATCTAGACAAGTCTCGGGTCCTTGACGGGAATTTGCAGAATCCCAACTCCGACTAGAATGTACACGAGCTTGTTCTGACAGCTAGTGGTAGCACCAGCAGTCTAAAGTTGAGATTCATGAAGGTTTCTCTTTACAAGACGGAACATGCCCTCGTCGGGTTTTGGCCCAATCGGTAGAAATGCACTCTTTCTGGGTTTTTTCGAAGATTTTTCGAAGCTGCCATTCAAAGTGTGCAGTGCTACGCGTCCTCAAAATCCCTGGCGAGACTTTGGACTCTCTGGGCTTGACATCAACCCGAAGGCGCCCTTAACCCTTGCAGCCTCAGGTGCCCTGCCCAGTCTCCGTGTACGCGGCGTCCTGCGCGTGGAGTGCAGTGGAGCTGCAGCAGCTGCATACAGCAGTGCTGCTTGGCGAAAGGGAGGGGCGGGGGGTCCTTCAAGTTGTCGGAACCCTTGGAGGCCAAAACTCCCGCAACCAGTAGAAGTTTAGGAGTTCTGCCTCGCCGATACAGGTTGCCTCCACACTGGGGCCGGAGAGGCTGCTTTGGCATGGAGCCTTGGTGGAGTATGGACCAGGAGGCATCTAGTGGCAGGTTGTGGCCATAAACTGTCCCCACATTGCAAGCAACCAGAGCCGCAGCAAAGTCGGCAAGAGCCCGTGGTGGGAAGTCAGCCAGCTCTTTCTGGTTGCTGCATGTGAGCTCCACTTGCTCTTCCTCTTGTCAGCTCTTGCCGCGTGTGCCTCCCTGCCTCGGTCAAGGAACCTCCTGGGACTGCGCAACTTGGCTCTGTGGCACTGGAAACCCTTAAAAAGGCTTGAGGTTCGGGAGCTGTGACTTGACAGCCTGAGGACAAAGGAAGCTGACATTCGGGTGGGGGGGGGGGGGGGAGGGGGGGACCACTTCGAAAGGAATCTGCTGCATGACTGTATGCTCTGGTATACGACGTATGTCGCAAACTTCTTGATTAACCTGATTACCCAAGACACACAGTGGAGCGTCGTGAGATCTTCCGAGGTAGGAAACATTGCGCAGAACGGCTTCAACCGTGGCTACAGCGGACGACATGGTTCGAAGTTGGGGAAAGGCTCGTCTTTCGGGTGGAAATGATGGGGTGGAGGTGGACCCACGAGTTTCGGGAGCCTGACCCGTGCCTATCTAGAGATCCTGTAACCCAAGGCGTCCAAAGACGGCAGCTTGCAACTTTATTGCCAGAAAGTGTGGGCCATGGACCGTGAAGCCTCTGCGAACTTGAAACAAGAACAAAGGAATCCCGGTCAGGTAGCTATTTCGCCGAAGAGCCAGCCTTTGCCCTCCGCTTCTGTGGGCGGCGGGAACCGAAGGCAATTTTCTTGGCAGGCAGGTTCGGGACGACGACTTGTGGTCAAGCATTTTGGCTCACTTTAGTTGATGTCTCAGGAAACGCTGTTGGGTTTCCGCAAGCAAGCAGCAGCACCACTAAAGGCCTCCTCTAAACTTGTCAAAACTGCGAGCCGCCAAGGGCCCAGCAGGTGAAGTGCTCACAGAGCATGCGGGCCGTTTACGTCGTTAAGCTGTTTTCACATCAAGTTGCCCCCCCCCACTTGAAGCCCACACAAAGCTAGGGGTCAGACGTGCCATCCCAGTGGACCCCCAGGATGCTTCCGCCACAGCTGCGGCTCAAACCCGCCCCAGTGAGACTGGGCCGTGTCAAAGACACGGAGTCGTTTCACCTGAGCTCTGGTTTGCATAGGACTTCTATTTTCGTTCGCCTTGGAGGTTTACGATGGCCTTCTGAGTTTGAATAGCATAAGTATATACATTTATACAGTACATATATAGCTATCTAGTCCAATAGGTTGACCTTGATTTCGCCTAGGAAGCTGGACAAGTGAGTAGAGCCTGCAAGATGTAGCGGAGGCTTTTGTCTTGACTGTTTTCTTGACTCTTCCCCTGGCAGCCAAAGAGCAAACAACTTCGATATCAGTCACCCTGACCCTTGCATCCCTCAATGCCATGTTCTGCTGCTGTGAAGCGGCGGCAGAGTCGAGCTACACGCTCGACCCTTGCCATGCGAAGCATCAAGCACTCTACACTGGCTTTGAAAGGACCGCGGTTTCAGAAATGGGCCCTTTCTTACTTAGGGTCGCGATGATGTTATTGCCGAAGTCCTTTCCAAATTGTTGTGGGCCCAATCTTCAAGGCGAAGGGAGAAACCCCGGCAAAGCAACCTCCCCAAACATGCCCGGAAGGACACCTGGAGTGGAAGCAATCTTCGCTACTTGGCTTCAAGGTTCAGGAGACGAGGAGCATGCTGAACATTCATGTGGCTCTGTCCGGAAAGCTGACAACTCCGGAAAGCAACATGCTGCTCAATGCATATGAGCAGAACCGTCAGCATTCGTCACCGGCAGGGTTGCTCTTTTGTTTTTCAGGGCTGCTTTCTCAACCTGACCTCGTGATTTCAGGTTGTTCGGCTGGAGACCAGTTCACCGGCACGTTCGCAGCTGCCCGGAATCCTGCTGGATGCCCCCTGAATGGCATTGAGTTCGAGTGAGCAGCACGCTTGTAGTTGCGGGCTGTAGGAAGCCTTTTCACAGAGACGATTTTGACCCTGACATGCCCCGTCTAGTACACCTTGTCATGTCGTTATGCTGCTAGTGGATGCCGAGGCATCTGCCATGTTTGAGTAGGCCAATTCTTGAAACCCGCAGGATGGGACTGCAGATCCAAGAACCAACCGTCCACTTCTCGAAGCGGCCCAGGTCACGAACCCTGTGTGTCCACTGGTGCAGAGTATCAAAGAAGACGGACTGGCAGCACGATGGAACACTTTGGCTGAGGAGCTTGGGGGTTCTACATCACATTCTCACTGCGCTGACACCCATGGGCTTGCATCCATACTGTATCACATCATACCTATCACCTGGCATCCTCTTGCCGGTGACAGGAAAACAGTACTTTGCCTGGCCACTGTCGCCAAACGAGCGCTTTAGGGTTCAGGGATGTTTAGGTTGACATTGCCTCCTGGTAGCAATTACTATGCGAAGGCTTGATCTGTATGTAACAGTGTTCTGGCATGTGTCTGTGGCGCGCCGGACTGAGGGGCTTTTGTATAGAGCATGACTTGTCCCTCATCCAAACATATCCCAACCAAACACGCGTTCGCCTCGCCTTCTGTGCTGCGCTCGGATTCCGCTGATGAAAGCCAAAGGTAGCGGAAGTGTCGAACAGACCTCTGAGCCTCTGAGCAGGAGGGGCAGCGCATCTGCACCTTCGATCGCCTGGTCGAGATGAACGGTTTCCGCGGCCCGAGCCTGGCACCCTGGTCTCAAGAAGTTTCCTGTGTTGGAAGTCGAAGCAATTGCATTCTGCCCACCAGCTCTCGCAATGCAACTGCTTGGGCCCAGAGGATATCACGGTGGAGAGAGCTGATGCGGGTTGTATAATGCAGACTTGGTCAGGAGGCAAGTTGGCAGTCGGGGCTCGCACGCTGCAATCACATTGAGCCCACACGCTGGATGCGAGTTGCCTAAGGCCCCCCCTCAGTTATACAGGACCGAGGAAGAGTTGCAGAGTGCGTACGCTGGAGTGCTCCAGCTCAACAGTTGCAAGATATTGGAGAATCCTAAACCCTAAACCCTAAACCCTAAACATGTCAATCTACCGAACCTCCAAGGAAATGGCTCGGCTTTTAGCACGCAACGTTCGACCCGAAGGGCTGTTACTCACACTGCAGCGGCCTGTGGAACGACGCCGGGCCCAAATTCATGAGCCTTCCCACCTCTCTGCTGATTCAAGACCTTGTTTGGGGTTTGGGGTTTAGGGTTTATTCGGGTTTTTTAGGGTTTATTAGGGTCTATTCGGATTGATTAGGGTTTATCAGGGTTTATTAGGGTTTATTAGGGTTTATTAGGGTTTATTAGGGTTTATTAGGGTTTATTAGGGTTTAGGGTTTAGAGTTTAGGGTTTAGGGTTTAGGTGCGATGTGTTTGGCAAACATTCCTGGGCGAGTGTGGTCATTGAGTTTCAGAGTCCAACGTGGCATCCGAGGACGGGTCAGACTTCAGCTACCTGGAGAATCTTGATGGGCAACTGTGGGGAGCATGAACGAGCACAGGGTTTATCCAGGTCCTCCTCATAAACCCAAAACTTGAGCAAAGAAGCAGAAGCCCTCACTAATAAACGCATGCCTCACACTCTAATCCATCTAAGCCCTAAGCCATTGAACGCACATTCTACACCCTAACCCTCAGCAAACCCTATTTCATCTACGCCTTAAGGTTCAACCCTAGGCCTGGCCACCTAAATCCCTTCTCCCAAATCCCCACTCCCAAATCCCCACTCCCAAACCACGGCCCTCCCTAGTCGAAACAATACATCTGAAGCCTGTTGCTCGTGAGACACTGCAAGAGAAAGAGGGAGAGAGGCATGAAGAAGCCAGGCCAGAAAGCAAGATAGAGAGAGGCGCCGCAGAAGAGAGGCAGTGACAAAGGCGCGCTAACCATCTGATCCGTAGAAGAGGTAGAGTGAGAGCCTGGCATGTGCCAGTGCGAAAACATGTTGAGAGGCCGACCGAAGGATGAGTTCAGTGGCATTTTTTCAGACCCCCTGAGGAATTGGGCCTCACTGTCCACTACAAGAAGCCACTTGGCTCAGGGGCAAAGCCAGCTTTGGTAGCTTTGCTCTTGTTTCTTGGGTGGCTCCATGATCGACGCGGCCGGATTTGCTGTTGCATGTGTGACTGGGAGAGTGCTGCACTCTGAGTTCTTGAGATCGCAAAAGCCATAAGGTATGGCTCTCTCGCACCGTGGGTGTCCGAGATGCCTCTGACAGGCCTAATTGCAAGGTGGGGACGGGTTTCCACGCACTTCTCTCAGGGTTTAGAGATGGCTAAGGCGCATGATTCCATCCGTTCTTCGCAGGCAAATGCATCTGTCTACCATGTTCAACCGTTAGACGTCCAAACATCCCCAAGGTCTGAAATACAAACCGCGGTAAGCCAACGAGAAACAACAGTACCTTGAACTTGATATTGCCAAGCGTCTTGCGGTGCCATAAGTTAGCTTACACCCTCGAGGGGCTTGTCGGGCCATAGGGCACAAGTTCATCCACACTTCGGTCCTGTGCCTTTTGGCCAACGTTTTATCGTCATCTGTTGATGCTCGTGGGTATGTCATGCGACTACCCAACTCCCACCGAGTCTGAGCAGGTGGAACCTGGAAAGGCCACACGAGGCTATTGCCGCCAACGACCGCCGCTGGGCCCGCAATGCCTTGGATGCGTCGGCCCGGGGGTCGGGAAGCCTTGGCCTTTTCATTCTGAAGGTGTTGATCTGTGGCTGTGGATGACTTGTCTACACAAAGGTCGGCTTAGCTTGCAAATGTGAGCAACACCTCAAGACCGCAAAGTGATGACGATTGTGGGGGTAGGATTGAAGGTGTTTATGATGTTTAGGCATCCCACGATCTCTTGAGGCATCCTGGAAGTGAACGGCATGCGAGGCTCCGGGTTGAAGAGAGCTTGTGGCTGCTTGTGGTTTAGGGCTTAGGGTTTAGGGGATAGGGTTTAGGGTTTAGGGTTAAAAAAAAGGGTTTTGGGTTTAGCGTTGCGACAAGTAGTTTTGTTGACACCCTGCAAGGATGTGACAGGCCACTTGGTAGAATGTCATGAAGCCCCAAGATGCATGACCCTCACGCTGGAGACCCATACACGGAAATAGTTACTGAATGTTGCACTGGCTTTAGTAGGCCCCCGCCTACCCACCCCAAACAGAAAACCTAACCCCCTCGATAGGAGATGCCCCCCGGGAGCCCCCCAAGCAACTCTGGGGAGAAAAATATATAAATAGAAAAAAAAACTGAGCTGAAGCCAAGCCCTTAAGCCCTGAAACCTTCACGGCCGAAAGGCTTGAAGCTGTCTGGCAACCCCCCATGGCTGAAGCCACAGCACTTGAAACCCGAAGCTTTCAGGGCCTTGAGGCCTGAAGTTTTCCTGCAACAAAGTTGTGATGATAGCACCCCAAACAAACGGGCTGGGGCTGGCCCGTGGGCTACCTATGGGCCTCATTTCGTAGTGAAATTCAACAAGGTTTTAGATAGGCTTTGCTTCCTCCATTCTCCAGACTGGTGCAGGAGTGAGACAAACCCTAAACCCGAAGCACAGGCCGAAACCAGAGACCCTTACAAAGATGATCCCCAAAAAAACTTGCGATTCTAGCAGGTGGCCCGAACAAACTGGGTTCGCAGAATGATTTCGGAAACTCGTGATTATAGATGGTAGCCCTACAAAAGCCAGTGCAACATTGGTAGCATCGTGAAGTCAGAGCTCACAACTCGTGGGCAGGACCTCCGCCCGAACTTGTCGAAGAGGTTGGAAGAGCCACGCAGAGCGTGGAACTCCTTTTTCTGCACTACGGCCAGTGAGACGCCACCCCGAAACCCACCCGCGACAAGTGCATAGACACCTGATTCGACTTGATACTAAAGCCCGCTCAACCCTTGCCTTCAGATCAAACTTTCCTCAGACCTGCCTTGCGCAGCTGCCAATGTGCAAGCCGGGTATTCACACAGCGCAGTCTCTTGTCACTAAGAAGCTATCTGCCATCCTGTTTGTAATGGTGTCTGCACCAGGGACAAATCCTCTACGAACTTACCATCTTGGGTGCAAAGTGGAAACTCTGCCTGGGCATTCTCAGAGGCGCAGATGAGGGTAGGACCGGGTAGGGGCAGTTGCGCCTGGGGTGATCGCCATCCGAACCTCTGAGGCCCCCCCAGGGGTCCAGGAACCACGTGTTACTGTAGTTTGCGTCGAAGTGCTTTGTGCCGCCTCTCCATCCCGTCCTGGCATATGTTTTAACTGAACAACAGGACATGAACAATGAAACAGCGTTTCTATCCCTAGAAAGCGACATAGCCCCTTAAGCCTTTAAGTCTGCAGACTGTAAAAGTTTGATTCATCTGCGGCTTATCAATCCTCTACTGTCCTTTTAGGACCAATCGTTGTGTGTTATACTGACTGGGTTTTGTGTCTTTGTCTTCATTATTCGCCTCCATGCTTTCCTTGAAAGCTCCCCAAACGCGCGTCCCCCTCTCAAGCACCCTCCCCCCCCCCTCGCAAGCCGATCAACCACCCTCGCCCTCTTATCCCTGATTGCATCTCCCCTCATTCCACCACGTTTCCACTCACACCCCCCGCCCGGTGCCCTTGAGACCCCACACCATCTGCATCCGCACCACGACATCCGCAGCGCCCACGCCCCAACTCAAGCCATGCACACACTCAGACCGACACCTACACACCACCACACCACCCGAACCACGCAGACTGCCACACCATCCACATTCATCCAAACATGCTCACACCACCATTCGCTACCCACATGCACTCAGACAGAGACCCATACACACACCCGCACCTCCACACCATCCACCCCATCCACACAATCCGCACCATCCGCACCATCCGCACCATCCTCAGTACCCATCCCACCGACTCCACTCATACCACCCAAAGCACCTCCCATCTGCACCATCCGCGCCACCCGATGGTCTTGAATGCTTGGGAAGGTGGTTTTCTTTTGACATGTTCTTTCAGTAACGGGTATGCAGGGCGAGCCCGACAGCATAGCTCGACAGCGAGAAGACATCTAATACATTGGCACTAGCACAGGAAAGAATTGCAGTGGAAGTCCGTAATTCCTATTGCTTCTTGAGTTTGTCAGAAATCGTGCATGAAAATATCCTTTTTCCAGGTATATGTTCTGCTGCTCTGCATTGTGAAGAAGCGAAAAACCCTCACGGATACCCAGGGGGTTGCAACCTCTTTACGGCAGAGCTCTAGCTCTCCAGCCACTCCCATGAGCGAACACTCGGTCCTCAGGGCATTGTTGTGGATCTCATGCCAGTCAGTTCTGCAAAGCCTCTGAGGGGGGGGGGGGGAGGTGGCACGTGCACAGCGCCGTTCTTTACTCAATAGTTTCACCACAGGTTGGCAACCCTCAGCGCTGTTATCTTCTACTGCACGTTACGCTCGTGGCACCAACTTCGATTCCGAGGGTGCCAGCTTGCGTTCGGGATTCGGGCCCTTGTGCCCACTGGGCTGCTGAGCTCCAAGGCCGAAGAAATTTTAACCCAGGCACGCAGATGTGCGCGCGGGCCAACAAAAAGGCATAGGTGCACGTACCCCCTTTCATTCTTCCAGAGCTTATCGGAACAGATGTGATTTAGCCAGATCTTCGGGCAGGGGTGAGTGCTAGAGCAGAGCACCACACAAGAAGGTAAGCATTCAATTGTCAGCAGCTACCTCCTGCAAGTTGGATTGACATTGGCTCAGGGGCTCCGAAGATGAGACTCAGCAGCTGCAGCTATCAGAAGTGTGCTGTAGAGAATCTTATGGGACTTGCCGACGCAACAAAGTGAATCTTGAGCTCTGTGGAAATGCCCTTACGCCTTAGGTCAGGCTTCACACTTCAGGGTCCGCACGAAGCGGCCATGGAGGGATGCTGTGCTCCTGCGCCCCAAAGATTGAGAGCCAGGCCAAAGACCATGGCCTGCTCAAGCTGGTTCACTTACTTCCTCAAGTGGCAACTGCTCTGCCGATCTATGAGAGATCTTAGGCTTTGCGGCTTCTTTGAGCTTAGAGTACACTTCTGCAAAGTAGAACTGTAGTGGGGACTTACCTGGCCCTCATCCTCTTAAGTCTGGGGTCTCATTCCCGCAGGGTGGGTTCTCCGCTGAGGGTAAGGATCAGAAGGATCCACATGCTTCAGTGCCAGGTGCTGGCCCCATGCCACCTGAAGCCAGAGGTCCAGGCGCCTCCAAGTCTTTCTGAAAGGGAACAGGGCATCTGCGAGGGTGATGCTGGGACTGTGCCTGGTCGATCGTACTCGAGACAAAACAGTCCCCCTCAATGCTTCTCCATTGAAGAAGAGTCTGGAGGGAAACGTCTCTTCTCTGAAGACTTCCTTAGCCCCCTTTGAGCTGACAACCGTCATCTAGCCTCAATCTGAGCTTCTGCCGACGGCGCTCACCAACTCTACGCCTTTTGGCGGCCCAGGTCCTGTCTCCCAAACGGCTATCGGACCCCGGCCCCCTGGAAAGCAGTGGACATTGTGGACCGATATGATGCTTCCAATCAATGTTTCCCCTTAACTGAGCCGTGACCCGCACTGAGTTGCTTTAGTGTGGCTGCATGCAGAGGCCAACTCCAAGGAGGGCCCCGTTGTTGAGCCCAGGCTTTCCAGAGCCAGTGCTGACGCCACCATCTTTCCTTCATCCCGATGCAATTCCGGACCTCTTTGAAGCTTCTTGCACCTTCGACCTTGATACTTGTAGCAGCTGACGCTGCTGTTGGGGACTCGCTGGGGACTTTTCAGGTTGCTTGGAGACATTGCGACAATCCTGCTTCCGAGACAAGTTCATGCTAGGGCTGGAGGCTGTCAACGGCTTAAGGCTTAGGATCCTTGCTGCCAGGAAGCTCCAAAGTCTGAGACCTTACTGTACGGCCCGTGGCCGCAATGCTGGGCCTCAGGTAGCACGTGCCCGGACAGAATCCAATAATTCAAAACAGGTGACAATGTGGCAGCCATGTTCGAGTCCTGTGTGCAAGAAGCTGCAAGGTAGCACGTGCTCTGGCTCCCTGGGATTGGTGATGGATGCCACGGACCCATCGTGCCTGCCCCCTGACGGGAATTCGGAGCTTGCGAATGAATGGTCGACGGTGGTCAAGACTAATAGCGCAGCGAAGCAGTCCACGTGTTGCACCATTCATGCCCGGTGCATGTGCCTCTGGCTGCACAGGTAGGATGCCTACGTCATAGGTTCCGATTCAAGACTCTGAATCAAAACGAAGTCAGCACATGGAAACCAAGAAGGCATTGATGTAACCCATGTCAGGCAGACATAAATCGTGAACCCCAAACCCTAAGCCCTGGGGCGAGTGGCAGAAAAACCCTAAACCCCAAACTCTAAACCCTAAACCCCCCAAAAAAGGATTGTGAAGATGATCGAGCGACGAGGTGCCCTTCCTGAGTGGAACGAGGCCAGCTCTGGGAGCACAAAGCATCGGGAATCCGGCACAGCGAGCACAAAGCAGAAGAAGAAGAAGAATAATACGAACAAAGTTGATAGTAAAAAGAGTTATGTATGTATGTATGTATGTATGTATGTATGTATGTATGTATGTATGTATGTATGTATGTATGTATGTATGTGTACATATATATATATATATATATATATCATATTATATATATATATATATGTATATATGTGATGTCTAAATATTCATGTATAGCATATTCGTATTGAAGATACACAAAGGATAAGATATTCCTCTCTCCAAGCCTTTGGGCGTGCGACTTCGGAGACTCGTGATTCGTGATCCAATGCAGTGCCTCGCAAATCTTGAGCAGGTCGCCCCCGAAGGAAAGCGAGTCAGCAAATATGCGACTTGGGCGCAAGACAGGGCTCTTCACTTGAGCCGGTGCTCCTGATTCGTTTAGAGAGCACAGACCGTGTCCGCGGTGTCGAGTCGGCGTTTGAATTGAACAGCAGTCCGAGAGCAGTAGTTCAAGCTACTGACGAATGATCTCCAAAGCCTCCCCACCCTACAGCTCGTAGTACAAAATCAACTTCAAGCACGGCATGCCGAATGGATGGATAATTGCGAGAGTTGTGTGCCTGCATCTACTCCCCAGTACCCAGCTAAATTAATCTGCGTTCCCCACCCTCGACAACTGACAGGACCGCATCATAGAGGTCAACGGCCAGGGCGGCGAGAGCGAAGAGTTAATGAAGCGTTTACACAGCTCCTTGGATTCCAGCCACGAAAATCTGCACGGTGCCCACCGTGAGAGAGCACCCTGACCAGGGTTTAGGGGTTTAGGGTCAGATGGCCTGGCTCCGGTATAGACTTTGTTGCAATTTCCAAGGCTTGGATCTCACGTGGTTCTCGATCACCATCCAGCGACCAGAGGCATGCTGTCCGAGTCCTTTTGCAGTATTCGACAGATCACGAAAGCTAGCTCTGTGGAGCTGGCGGGAGTTGTCGTTTACCCATGCACTGGTATTCACCTTGTTAAGAAGCTTCCAGGGAAAAAAAGGGTTCCATACCAAGTATTCGAAGGATAAGGTGCCGGCGCCCCCCCCCCCCCCCCCCCTCCTTGAAGGTGGTTGCGTGTGGGATAAGGTAGGGGGGGGGGCCCCCCCCTACCTTCAGGTCCCCCCCCCCCCCCCCCACAAGGTCCCCCCCCACCCCACCCCAAGGTCCTCCCCCGCCCCCCATGCTCTGAAGGTCTGTGGTACTTTGCAGAGGTCGTACTGAACAGAGCGTCCCTGTACCTAAACTTCGTTTGCGACACGGGGTTCCAGCGTGGGAAGCAAGGGGGCTGAAGGAGTTTAGGGCTTCAGATTTCGAGTTTAGGGGTCTTCGATCTTACCTGACTAACCGGTTGAGTCTCTACATGGACTCAATCGTGCTTGTTAACAGCTGCTCAAACATGCATTCGAGACTGAAGCTGCAGCTTGGAGCAGCGATACCCATTCTGCATGTGCACGAAATACGGAAAAAGCTGCGCCGGCGGCTCCAAGTCCTGCCGACTCGCTGCATGCCACCCCCCTGCGGTGACTAGCTTTCGTAGCCCCTTCTCAAGTGCAACTTTTCCCCTGGCTTCACACATTCAAGCTGATGTGGTTGATGTGTTTGTGAAAAGAGTGCTGCGCATTGGGGCGAGGGGGGGTAAGAACAGTGTCAGGCAGCTCTGGCACTATGTCACTGACAGCACTGCAACAAAAATGACAGCCCTGAAGATACGAGCCTTTGAGAAGACGACCAAATGAAATGTCCCATACTACATACATGGAACTCCTTCAGTCCCTCAGCCAACGTCCTACACCAGGCACGGCTCGTAAAACTGCACCTGCCGGGCGACACCGGTATGAGCGTAGAGTACGAGTGCCTTGGATAGCTGGCGTTTGTGAAAGGTCCACAAGCTCTCAGATCCATGCATGAGGCCAAGAGCCACATGTCAAGGTTGAAGCGCAGCGATCCATTGTTTTCGTTGACATGTTCATTTCTCCCTCGCCCAGCTCAAGCCCCACCTTTGCTGTAGGAAGAGCGAGTCAGCGGTGCCCTGGATCAGCCGGATCTCCAACGGGCTACTCAGAAGCTGGAATGAAGACATGCCGGAGCAGTCTGTCGCTTGGTTGTATCTTCCCTGTCGCGCCAAGCTAGACAGATAGATGTCGCATGGACATCCAGGGGGCCGGGTGGGGAGGGGGTGGGGACGAAGACAGCTTCGCTACCAAAGGTCGGGCTCCTGAGCTTGTAAGTATGGCTTCAAGATTCGCGGCGTTGAGCAAGGTCTCGAAAGTGTTCCACTCTCCCAATCCCTCGCATTTTCCGGGTTGCGGCTGCTTAGTCCACTTCAATCAAGACGTGACCAATGAGATTCATGAGATGGTCAGGTTGCTGTGCATGACCGCATCGTGTCCGTGAATGGCTGCGCCGGCTCAAGCGAGCTGATCCTGGATCGGTCCATGGCCTTGGTTTCACGATCCACTTGAGAGTGCCTGGAAAAGGGGTCGCAGACTGTCACAGACTGAGCCACCCCAAACTTAAGTCCTACCAAGCGTGCTGTGTGCCCTATCTTCAAATCAACATCTTCAACCCTAGATTCTGGATGTCGAGGTTGGCTTTGGCGGAAAAGACGATCGAGCTCCTAGCGCCGCGGCAGAAAGAGAGGGTTCTCAAGGGATTGGACCGCTTGGGGGTGGCTTTAGGGGTTTCGGGGAGAGAGTGGGTAGATGCACAAGGGGATGTATATATATATATATATGTGGCCGAGACCTTTAGGGTCTATTTCACGGCTGGTTCTTCTTTCAGTAGTAGTGCAGCAATAATATTAATTTTAATATTATTATGAGTATAATAATACTGACCGTAATTGTAATAGGAATAATAATAGTACTAGTAATAGTAATAGGAATAGGAATAGTAATAATACTAGTAATAGTATTAGTAGTAGTAACAGTAATAGTGAAGGTTTGGTCTGTGTGTGCACCGGCGCCAGCAAGTGCAGCCATGTAGCTCTAGCACACTTTGAAGTAAGAGATAGACAAGTTGTTTCATAGCCTGAAGAGGGGCGAAGGGCTCTCTCATTTCCGATTACGAGGTAGAGGTGAGCTATCTCATTTCTTAGAAACATAGAGGAGATCTCATTTCCACGACAGAGACATCTTTCACTCAGGAGAGAACGCAAGCTGTTTCATTTCCAAGAAAATAGAGGAGCTCTATCATGTCGTTAGAAGTGAGAAGCTCTGCACTAAAAGATAGAAGGCATCGATTCGTTTCCCTTTTTCTTTTGCTTATCAAAGGGTCTTTTCAGTTCGAACACAGGATTTCTTTCATGCCCTATAAGAAGGATCGAGGAGCTCTTTCATCTGAGAGATAGAAGAACGCATTCATGAAGTATACACGAGCTCATTTCTCGTCAAGAGGCAGAGGCGTGCCCAGCTCTACCATTACCTAACTCTTACCTGAAATTTCTCTATCTCGCAATAGGTCATGAGAGACCTCCTTTTTCACGCTGCAGGAAATGAGAGAGTTCTCTTCTATGTCGATTTTCAGAAATAGCTTCGCAGCTTCTCTATCAATGAAGAGTTTTGAAGGCCACTCTGGGCCATTCTCTGTCCATCAAATGGGACATGACATAACGCATCACTCGCTATCGTTTACGTGATAGAGTTTCGCTATCTCTGAATAGGTCATCTGAAAGCTCCTCTGTATCTTTGCAGCAAGTGAAGGAGCTCCTTGCCTCTTCTGCAAGAGCCCTCCGCTTCCTATTTTGCAATGAGCAAGCTCTTTTATCTCCTCTGGTTCCTAATAGGTCATGAGCGGGCTTCCCTCTCTCCTTCTCTTTTAGGGGATAGAGGAGGTTTTTTCATGTTGCGTTAACAGCTAGAGGACATCATTTATATCCATTCTGTCATTTCGTATGAGAAGATACAGGAGCTCATTCATCTCCTAGTCAGAGATTGAAGAACTCGTTCACAAGAGATATAGATATAAGAAATCTCTCATACAATGTATAAGAGCTCTCTCATGTCCTACCTAGTTCATTTGCCGTCACCAGCGCTCAGCTCTACCATTTCGTATCTTTTATATGACATAGCTTCTCTATCTCGCAATAGGTCATGAGAGACCTCCTCTTTCTTTTGCAGGAAATGAGAGAGGTCTCTATCTACCTTTTGTGAAAGAGCTCCCTTTGTTCAATCACAAGAACTCATTCATAGAAGCTGTAAGAGCTCTCGAATGTACTTTCTTGTTAATTTCCCGTCGATAGGTAGAGGAGCTCACAGCTCTACCACATCCTACCCTTTACATGGAAGAGGCTCCTCTATCTCGTAGCGGGTCAAGAAAGATTGCCTCTATCTCTTTGCAGAACATTAGAGAGTCCTCTACCTACCTCTTGTGAAAGAGCTCCTTCACCTCAAAATCAAATGCCACAACTCGTCTATCTTTCACTGGGACGTGAGACAGCTCCATTGTGAATTTCTATTCAGAAATAGCTGCTTCTCTATCGATGAAGAAATCATGCGAGTAGCCGTTTATCGATGCATAAGAAATGACATAGCTCTTCTACCTTTTTGCGACAGATCTCTTCTTTACCCGAAATGAAAGTTTGGAAGGCCATTCTCTATCCCTTGAATGGGGACACAACTCATCAGTCTCTATCGTTTACGTGAGAGAGTTTCGCTATCTCTGAACAGGTCATCTGAAAGCTCCTTTGTGTCTGCGCAGCAAGTGAAGGAGCTGCTTGCCTCTTCTGCAATAGCTCCTCCGCTTCCTATTTTGCAATGAGCAACCTCTTCTATCTCCTTTGGTTCCTATTTCTCGTTTGCCATCACTAGGCAGAGGAGCTCTCAGCTCTACCATGACCTATCCTTTACATGAAAGAGGCTTCTCTATCTCGTAACGGTTCATGGAGTCATGACAGATCTTCTCTATCTCTTTGCAAGAAAAGAGAGAGTGCTCTACCTACCTCGTGTGAAAGAGCTCCTCCACCTTGTGATCGAGAGTGACAGAACTCGTCTATCTTTCAATGGTGCATGAGCCAGGTTTTTTGTTTGTATTTGAGAAAAAGCTTGTCTACCCGTGATATAATAAGAAATGAATAGCTCTTCTACCTTTCTGTGACAGATCTCTCCTTTATTCGAAATGAAAGTCTGGAAGGCCATTCTCTATCCCTGAAATGGGGCATGACATAACTTTTCAATCTCTATCGTTTACGTGATCGAGTTTCGCTATCTCTGAATAGGTCATCTGAAAGCTCCTCTGTATCTTTGCAGCAAGTGAAGGAGCTCCTTGCCTCTTCTGCAAGAGCCCTCCGCTTCCTCTTTTGCAATGAGCAAGCTCTTTATCTCCTCTGTTTCCTAACAGGTCATGAGACAGCTCATTTCCACACTGTCATTTCGTATGCGAAGACACAGGAGCTCATTCATTTTCTATTCAGAGATTGAAGAACTCATTCATAAGAAATGTATGAAAGTTCTCTCATGTCCTATCTAACTGATTTCCCGTCACTAGGCAGAGGAGTCCTCAGCTCTACCATTTCTTATCTTTATATGACATAGCTTCTCTATCTCGCAATAATCAGGTCGTGAGAGACCTCCTCTTTCTTTTACAGGAAATGAGAGAGGTCTCTATCTACCCTTTGTGAAAGAGCTCCCTTTGTTCACTGGCAAGAACTCATTCATGAAAGCTATAAGAGTTCCCGTCGATAGGTAAAGGAGCTCACAGCTCTTCTATATCTTACCCTTTACATGAAAGAGGCTCTCTATCTCGTAGCGGGTCATGAAAGATCGTCTCTATCTCTTTGCCGGACATGAGAGAGTCCTCTACCTACCTCTTGTGAAAGAGCTCCCCCACCTCGTAACGTACAAAGACAGAACTCGTCTATCTTTCAATGGGACATGATCCGTCTCTTTGGTTTTGGTTGAGAAAAGCTTCTCTATCCATGAAGCAAACATGAGAGAAGCCGATTGTCTCTAGGCTGCTTATCGCTTCGTAGGAAATGACATAGCTCTTTTACCTTTTTGCGAGAGATCAACCCTAATTGAAGGTTTCGAAGGCCTATCCCTGAAATGGAGCGTCGCATAACTCATCAGTCTCTCTCGCTTACGTGAGACAGCATTTATTCTATTTCGTAACAGGTCATCTAAACGCTCTTCTATGCGTTTGTAGAAGTAAAAGAGCTCCTTGCCTCTTGTGCAAAAGCTCCTCCGCATCCTAAAGAGCAATGAGCAAGCTCTTCTATCTCCTCTCTCTTGAATAGGTCATGAGAGGGCTCCCCTCCCTCTGGTTGAGGGAATGACAGAGCTCCTCCGCCCCTTACGAAAGAGCCTTTCTCCTGCTTGAAAAGCTGCGGGCGGGTGCTCTGGCGCCTCGTAGGTTTGGGAGGGCTCCTTTTCACATCTTTATCTTTCCGACTCCGAGATATAGGAGCTCATTTTTTCGAAAGTGGTAGCAGAGATCTCTCATTTCCAAGAGATCTTTGTCACTCAGGGAGAAAGCAAGGTTTTGATTTCAAAGAAATGGAGGAGCTCTTTCATGTCCCATTAAGAGTGTGGAGCGCTCTCATTACGCATGAAAAGATTGATGACATGGATTCGTTACCATTCTTTAACTTTTCTCGAAGGGTCTTTTCTTTTCATATGCAGGATCTCTTTCATTTCCTATGAGAAGATAGAGGAGCTCTTTCATCTCAAAGATAGAAGAATGCATTCATAAACGGTATAAGAGCTCTCCCATGAACTATATCTCATCGTAGGGGGCATAGGAGTCTTAGGGGGCTCAGGATTCGCGTGCAGGGTGTAGGGTTTATAGGGCTACGGGAATTTAATGGAGGGTGTATTTGTGTAGTCTGCCTATTACCGTAACAAACCCGTGACATAACCCAGAGCCATTACTTGCAAGACTGCTTCTTGAAAGCAAGAGCGCTAGTGTCTAACCATTGTACATTCCTACATGAGATACCCCACCACATCTTGAAAACACCTCTTTCTCCAAGGGTTTACTGGGGCATTAAGGAACAAGAACGTGATGGTTTCAGCACCAAAGTAAGGGAATAGCAAAGGGTTTCCAGGGAAAACTTCCCTGATGCAACCGGTCTCTATCTCACAAGAGGTCATGAGAGACCTCCTGTATCACATTGCAGGAATGAGAGAGTTCTCCACCATGTTTGTTTTCCGAAATAGCTTCTCTATCAATGAAGAGTTTTGAAGGTCGCCCTGGGCCATTCTCTGTCCGATAAATGAGACATGACATAACTCATTAGTCTCTATTAAGAGAGTCTCTATCTCTACGTGATCGAGTTTCGCTATCTCTGAATATACGTCGTCTGAAAGCTCCTCTGTGTCTTTGTAGCAAGTGAAGGAGCTCCTTGCCTCTTCTGCAAGAGCTCCTCCGCTTCCCCTTTTGCAATGAGCAAGCTCTTCTATCTCCTCTGGTTCCTAACAGGTCATGACTTCTGCAAGAGCTCCTCCTCTTGATATTTTGCAATGAGCAAGCTCTTCTATCTCCTAATAGGTCAGAGAGGGCTTCCCTCTCTCCCACTCTTGTAGGGGATAGAGGAGCTTTTTCTTGATGCGTTAAAAGCTCGAGGGCATCGTTCATTTCCTGTCTGTCATTACGTATGAGAAGAGACAGGAGCTCATTCATCTCCTAGTCAGAGATTGAAGAACTCCTTCAGGAGAGCTCTCTCATATCCTATCCTTTTGGTTCCCCGTCACTAGGTCCCTAGGTAGAGGAGCTCTCAGCGTCTCAGCTCTACCGTTTGCTACCTTCTACGTGGCAGAGCTTCTTTATCTCGCAATAGGTCATGAAAGACTTTCCAGCAAATGAGAGAGTTCTCTACTTTACCGC